GAGTCACGGATCCGAAGATTCAAGGATGACTTACCAAGGAATTGCTATCCGCATCGGACCACAGACAGGCCCGACCCTTCTTAGCGCAGCGGGTACAAGCCCCATCCTTATCCGCTGAGATGGCGCGAGACTACGGATCCGATAAGGGACGGATCCGATAGAACAAGTCATAACTCACCATTTCCGCTACTATAGCCCTGCGCCTAGCCTCCTCCGCTTCCCTTCGGGCCTCAGCCCGTTCAATCTTCTTAATCCCTGCCAAGCGCTTCCGTTCCGCCTCTTCCGCTTGTTGCTTCAGCTTTTCAGCCTCTTCCTCCTTCTGAACCTCGGCCTCAGCAGCAGCCAGCGCGGCCTGGATATCCGCCAGAGTCTGCTTAGCGGTCTTCTTAGAGCCGGATCCGTTATCAGCCATGGTTGAGATAAGCTAGTGGTAGTGAAAAAGTAGGGAAAGGAAGGAACACCCTGCGACGCTTTGGCATCCGTATATCTGTCAGAATCCGAACTCAGCAACTTCTCCCATCAGCTTCTCCATTGTCTCGCACTCATACCATCCGTTCCGGATCGCTGATTCTTGTGCCTCTAGGGATCGGCCCTAAGGGGGGGATACTGTCATATACCATATATCCGGTTACAGATCCGATGATCTGGATCTCAGATCCGATCCAGATCCGATGAACATATCCGTCGTCCGGTCCACAGATCCGCTTTGATTCTTATTTCATTTCCTGTTCATATAACTCTAACTATCGTTCATCTCCTTTCGGTATTCCTGTACACCGGTATACCGGTTATCCTTTACTTCCGCTTTGCTTACTGATCCGCTATGCTTACTGATCCGCTATGCTTACTGATCCGCTACACTTACGAATCCGCTTTTACTTACTTTGCTTATACTTTCAGTACATAGCCTCGCACCTTTGCTTATTGATCATTCCGTTAGCTATCCGTAGTATATAAACCTTTGTATATGCGCTGTAGTAGATCAGTTCGAATATCATCTTAGATTGCACTCATTCCGTCTGGACTCTGAGTCCCTCCGTTATCCATCCGGACTTGAGTACGCTACTCTTGTCTACTCCGAGACTTAGGATAGATTCCTATAGTCTACATATCCGCCTCTGTCTTCGGACAGTCCTCACCCGTTAGTTTCTAGTCCGGATCCGATCCGGATTGGCCGTTACTCTATATACGCGATACTTTAGCTCTCTGAAATAAGGGGCAAGACTCGGGAAAGGGGCACAGCGCACGAGCTGAGGCCGAAGCCCTTCGGATCCGATACTACTTGAGTACGGTCTTAACACTTGAGCTTTGTACATATTGCCGCAATGCGGGCACTGAGACCCACTAGTCAGTGTCTTCTTGGTGTAATTATACTTACCTCTGCTCGAGCAATTCGGGGGCCATGACTATTACACAATATATAAAACAGTTTGTACACGTTCGCGTACAGGAAAGAGCGACAGATAACAGGGACGAGACCAAGGGCGAGAGATCTGAGAAGGTCACATGATAAGATTCATCAAAATACTGATAAACCAATCAACAGGGCCTTATATTTTTCCCGCCGTCCTTAAAAGGCACTTTCAAGGCACCTTGTGACGCATGTGATCAGCCTCGTAAGCCGGCGGCATTATAATGGTCATTTACTTTTTTCCGACACATATTCACTTACTGATGTAACCTAGCTCTCGCTTTGCTAGGTACTTCGTCAATATAGTTCTGTTCTCTAACATAACTGAGCTCTCGCTTCGCTAGTTCTACTAGTGTGTATAATATTGGTGAACTGTCTCCTCATCAACATGTATGACTTTGCACATGCCAAGCAAGAGAGAGGTACAACGAGGTCTGATGTTCACATCCATCCCTCACCAATGTATTGGCATGATGGTCAAGTACTCCACAAGGACATAGAGCTCACATCCATAAATATGGAGGATACTACAATAGATGAATGGGAGTAAGCCCCCCATGTATAGGGCTATGTTCGACATAGGGTCTCCGATGATAGATATAAAAAAATATGGAGGGTTCACTTGAGCCTTGAGGCGCAGTCGTTTAATGATATCAGTATCGTAGCGGCACGAGCGCCAATCCTCGACTTGGCCAACAAAGAACGGTACTTAGTTGGTAATCTATAATCCTATTGTCATTACCAATGTTTTCATCTGTGATTTTTGTCTGTTCCTCATGTTATCCTACTGTACTGCTCATTGCTCAATCCAGGCTTTTAGCGCACTGATTGTTCATGAGATCTGATTGACGATGAAGAGAGGAACAAGTGATAATAGGCGAGAAGGCAGATAATGCGATGGCAGGGTCTAAAACCACACTCAGACTTATACACCCCACCATGTCTCACTTTGAACAATGAACAAGTAGTACTTCAAGTTTTGTGGCGGTACTACAAGTATATAATTATCAATAATACACTATGCTTGTGGCACTAGTAGTACTGGCACATTTGAGACTCTGTGAGTTTTTAAGTGATGATAGAATGCTGAGGTATGGATGACGACGAGACGCGCGTCAAGTACACTATGTACGGTTATGTAGCGATCGGGTGGCTTGATGCGCAGTACCAATAGATACCAAAAGGTGAAGTGCAAGATATAGAAGAGCGTCAAGATAGGTAAGATAGATCAAGTTGGGAAAGATAGATGCGAACAGAGGTTTAAAAATGTGTTTGATGCACACATCATGCAGCTTCTTATCTCTTATGAACGAGCTGTGATCCCATCAAGGTAGTGGAGTTAATACTGGGATATCATTCGAATTGCAGGCTTGGCTTGATGGTCATGATAGAGCGTTTCACAGTTCACTGGATGCACCGGCTGGGAGCGACTTGACAAAAGGTATAGTTGCGCCTCCGGTGCCTGGCGCAGTAGTTTCACTAATAGCCATGCTCTATTCCGAGACACATATGTTGCATGTCAACTCTTTGGCCAGACTACGTAATAGACGCAGAACGCACCTAATTAAACTTCTGGAGCTCGAAGTTTGATGCATTATTGTTACTTGAAACACGAAGCTACCCCGGAAGGACCTTGTTACCTTGTAGGGAGGTTCAACCTCTTCGAATGGACGGATACATCGTGCGGCGAAAGAAAGGGCCTCTACGTTGGTCCAGGGCGACCAGATCGAAGCGGGAACGCCCACTTTGAACAGCATCATTATCAACTATCAATGTATCAATACTGAGGCGTATCACCGATAATTGTATTACCAATTTTTGGAGTGAACTGTTAGGCATGATCATGGGTCTGGAAAATATTTAATGGCTGACTGAAATAGATTGGGACGAGCTTACCAAAAACGCTGAGCTGTGTCGGAACAAGCCTAAGGACCCAGAAAAAGAACGTTTATTAAGTATTATCTTGATAGCGGCCGCATACCAACAAAAACGCGACGCACTGCAAAAGACTACGCATCGTCAAAATATTCTATCTGCATTCAGAAACGTGATTTCGCGCACGAGGATGCGACCGTTGACTATAGTGCGTACTGCGATCATTCAAGTTGCATGGTTTGCTGACCCGAGAATCTCGGAGCATTGCAAGGCGTTGTACTAAGTTGACGTGGGCCGCCGTCACGACTAAGTTATAGTACGTACCATCACCGTGACAGATTCACAGAGACAGTTGGAGTCTAGTAAGTTTAGAGACAAGTGAAAGCGCTGAGTCAGCAAGCCAGCGTATGTCATCCGAGACACGTAAGCGACAACCAATCTAGCGTTTGCGTTTGACAGAACGCTTCTCCCACTATCGTGGGAGTCGGGGATCAAGAATCTTGGTGCACCACCATATCATAATATTAATGCTAGAACTGCACACAAGAACTTCTTGTTAACGTCACCCATGTCCCAGGACTCGCAAAAAGAAGATTCCTGTAACGAACACTGACAAAGCGAGCTCATCGAGCACCCCCAGCTCAAGCCGCACTGTCATCCGACGGTTTCATGTCCTGCTGAAAAAACAGGGACAGCTGAAAAATGCCTCTTCTGCCAATGCTGAAGCACTCGGGGAAATAGATCGCGAGATCGACGAGCTGGGAGGATTAGCGGCCTATCAGCGTATGTCGAGCATTGGGCAGGGGAATGACCGCGGTGGCGGAAGTGAGAAAGTACTCATACAGTGGCTGATTGATATGGGACTAAGGAAGAGGGAAGTCAAAGGGAAGCTGAGGTACTTTAGAGCCATGTCTTTATTGGAGCAATTGAACTGGCTCTGACACATCTGCAATAAACAGGCTTCTGGAAGTTGGTGCTCTAAAGCCTGACAACTATCGAGCATGCATGTCATGGATAGATACCACACCCATGGACCTTCGCAGTCGCCATCCCTCTATTGTAGAGCAGGATTTTCTGTTGATGGATGAAGATGAGAATCGAGGCAAGTGGGATATCATCAGCCTGAGCTTGGTAGTGAACTTCGTTCCGAACCCAAGAGATCGAGGTATATATGCATATGTGCAGTGCTCGTGCTACCCGCAATTTGACATTACCTTTCAGGACGAATGTTATGCCTTGCGCACTCTATGTTAACCCAAGACGGCCTACTCTTCCTTGCGGTAAGGAACTGACTTGGTTCACAAGTCTTTAGTGCATCCACAAATGAGAGCTAACCTGGTCCTCTTACCAGCTTCCGCTTCCGTGCGTGGAGAATTCGCGATATTTGACTTTTGATAATCTTCAATCTCTCATGAACGCCCTCGGATTGACCGAGGTCCAGCGAAAGTGGAAAAAGGGCGGGAAAATGGCGTATTGGCTGTACAGGAAAAGTGAGAGCGACCATAAGCCTCTCGACGAATATCGTAAGAAAACTGTCTGTAGGCAAGGTGATAGAAATAACTTTGCAATCCTATTGCCATGATCATAGCACTCTTTGCTGATGGCCGCGTCGTAAAAGTTCAAATTCATTGGTCCACTGTTCACCTACTCGCTGATACAGCATACACAAATCGTCATAGGGCCGACCTGATAAAATATTATACAAGAACAATATTTATGCTATTGCATTCTTGACTACAGCCTTCCCCTCCAACCAGCCTTGCCTCCAACTGTGCTTCCGAGCTGAGACAAATGACTTGAACCACGTATTTACTGTGTCCCACCTTTCCTCCATGTCCCGAAGCTCCGCACTCCCTTGCGCGCAATGATTTATGCAAGTTGCATTAGGAATCAACGAAGACAGCACTACCGTGACGTTCATAGGATCACTGATGGGGGATGCACCAACGGAAAAGTTCCTGATATTTAGGTTGATGGCATCGGCTTGGAGCACATCTGTGAAGTCACTGTTGAAAGTGGCGCTGAAGAAAATTCCTAGAGAGGAGAGCTGATGGCAGTGTTTCAAGAGAGATACAACTCCATCAAAAGTTGCCCGCGGGGCGATGAGCCAGCGACCCTTATCGCCAAGGTAGAGCTCATGTAGGTTTGGACAGGACACCGCCATCTCCTCAAGGAAGGTGTCATCAATATGCGAGGTGCATAGATCCGCAAGGTTTAAGTAGTTGAGTCCCTTGAATGATACAAGCGGACGCAACATGATGGAGCTGAGAATAATTGATCTGTTGTGGTGTATCGTTTTCACGAGACCCAGCTCTAGAAGTTCCCCAGGATTCCTGAAGCACGCTTGTAGGCGCGAGAAGAAAAGTTCGGGGAACATTCCATCATAGCGTTCGCAGAAAAGGTGCAGACGTTGAGTCGAGAAATGGATATTTTGGATGAATGTATAAAAAGATGATGGTGAAGGTATTAAGATCTTCATCGCAGCACGGGGGGAGCAAAATTCTAACACCGGGGATCCGAAATCCGAAACAGAAAAATGCAACTCTCGAAGCGTTTGCAAAGAGCCAGCGTGCATCAAAGCTTGTTCATCCAAAGGGCCGACTTGCAACACTTGAAGCCCATTCCAACCCACGACTGCCTCGCTGATCGCTTGCATCGACGAATCCTCTGCGTTAACGCATGTGAATTCCTTGAGCAAAGGACATGATGGTGCAAGCGATGCAATAGCGGCACACTTGCGGACACTCCACGATATGGGCGAAAAGCTAAGGGCCGTCAAACTGGGCCCACAGAAACGACGTAAGAAAGGGAAGAAGTCTTCACGATCGGAGAGCCAATTCAACTTTGTGAGATTGGGAAGGATGGGTCCTGGAACAGGAAAACAGCTCAGAAGTTGCATGGTACTGATGTCCCATGTATTCGATTGAGGATGAGATTGTCAGCGTTCGGACACGTTTTCCATATCGCGCGAGAATGCGCCAGTCCGCATCATACAATGGGCGATCCCAGATCTAAGTGCAGGTTCTGAGTAACTGGAGAGAAAAACACGTTGCCTCGCTCACTAATTTGTTATTGCCATCCCGCTTCCCACCAGAACAGAGGACGAGTGCATCCAAAGAGTGAAGCTGAGCCCACAAGACATCCAGGGCAGGGTCTTTAAATGCTCGACACGTTCGTGCTAAACCGACAACCGTGGCGCGACCCTCGCGGTCCTCTTCTGTGCGGATGGGATCGTAGACAAATTCGAATATAAGCTGCGCAACGTCTGGGATCCAGTGGTGCATCTTTATTCGAAAAAATTAGTAACGAGGATGAAAGTGTGTCTGCTGCGATAAAACGTTAATGAGTCGTAAGAATAGTACGCTACTAGTCGTTTACGAGCAGATAAATGACGACGTACGGTTCAGACCTGTAAATCCTGTAGCAGTTCCTGTTAAGTACACTTATTTCCGAGTCAATCAAACGTTCAGTGCTCAAGCGCTCACTCACTGATTGCTGCATAGCTGTGACATGATTGATCGAGTTACCGAGGCGTGACAACGTAATCATTCCCCGATCGATATAATACCCAGCTTGTACTACGTAGTACGCAATGAGCAACTCACGAAGAACGGCGAAATTGTCATTGGATTTATGTAGTCGACAAAGAGTCGACAAGCTTCCAGTAACAAGGGCCAATCTAAAATCCTATCCGATCCTCTGATTAGCTTCCGTTTTCACGTGCGGTGATCCCCGATCCTTGAAGCTTGACTTTTGACAATTGAACTCCGGTCTCATGAATTTTGTCACCGAGGTCAAGTGGAAGAAGGTGTAATGGTTGTACGGGAAAGGTGGGAACGACCGTGGGCTCCTTGGTGAATATAATGATCGGAAGCAGAATGCTTGTCGGCAAGGCTATAGAAGTATTTTTATAATCCTAATGCCAGTGATCGAGTCATGATAATATTTGCTGACGGCCAACCCATTACAAAAAGATTAGAGAGTGTGTTTGTTCAACGATAAAGAATATTCAACATCCTTCTGCGAAGGCCCTGGTGATCTATAACACTACCGAACTGGCTATAGGATACAAAAAGAATGATGGAATTGATATAAATTTACGCTACTGTATCCGCTTTAACCTCTGCCTTCCCCTCCAACCAGCCTTGTTGCCTACTTTCCTTCCGGGCCGAGACAAATGTTTCCAACCACATGTTTACTGTCTCCCATTTTTCCCTTCTTTCCTGAAGCTCGACAGGGAATTTGCTGGGAATGGAATGATTTATGCGAGTTACACTCGGAAATAGAAACGACAGTACTGCTGTGACCTTCACAGGATCACCGATGGGGGATGTCCCAACAAGAAATTCTGTAATTCTTGGACTGACTGCGTCGACCGAGGCCACATACGTCGTATCACTTTTGAAAGTGGCATCAAAGAAAATGCCGAGACAAGACAACTGGCGGCAGCACTTCAAGAGAGATGTGACTCCATCAAAGGTCAACAACGGAACAGTGAGCCAATTATGCTGGTCACCCAACCAAAGTCCCTGTAGGTGTGGACAAGCCAGGGCTATTTCCTTGAGAAAGGTATCGTCAATATGTGCGGTGCACGAATGCCCAAGATCTAAGTGACCGAGTCCCTTGAATGATAAGAGTGGATGCAACATGCGAGAGTTGAGCACAATCGATTCGTTGCTAGCATCCTCGTCTGATATCCTGTTCACAAGCAGCGCGAGCCGTGTAAGTTCCCCAGGATGCACCAGGCACGCTTGTAAGTGCGAGAAGAAATGTTCGGGGAAGGAGTCATCGTAGAGGGAGCAATGAATTACCAGGCGTTGAATTGAGAAATGGACGTTTTGCATGAATGCTTGAAAGAAAGAAGGTGTGGGGACTGAGATCGCTACCAGGGCATGGGGGGTGCAAAATTCCAACATGGAGGATCTGGGATCTGATGAAGCAGAGAAATGCAACTCTTGAAGCGTTTGTAAAGAGGCTGCGTGCGCCAAAGCCTGCTCATCCATAGGACCGACCTGCAGCATTCGAAGCTTGCTCCAGCCCAAAACTGCCTCGCTGATTGCGTGCACCGAAAAATCATCTGCGTCTGGGCATAAAAATTCCTCGAGCGAAGGACATGATGGTGCAAGCGAAGCGACAGCAACACACTTGCTGACATCCCACCAGACAGGAGAAAGCTTCAGGGTCTTAAGATTAGGTCCGCAGAAACAATGCAAGAAAGGAAAGTATTCCTCATTGTTGGACAGCCAATTCAACTTTGTGAGATTCGGAAGAAAGGGTCCCGGAAGAGGAAAACAATTCAGAAGTCGCATAGTACTGCTATGCCATGTCTCTGAATAAGGTGAAATTGTCAGCGTGCGGACGCGTTTTGCATAACGCGCCAGAGTGCGCCAGTCCGCATCATACAATGGACAGTCCCAAATCTAAGTGCAGATTCTGAGTGATTATGGAAGGGCGTATAATGATGACCCACTCACTGATTGGTTCCAGCGATCTCGGCTCCCACCAGAACAGAGGACGAATGCATCCAAAGAGTCGAGCTGAGCCCATAGGACGTCTAGGGCAGGGTCTTTAAATGTTCGACACGTTCTTGCTAAACCGGCCATCGTGACGCGACCCTCAATATCCTCTTCTTCGCGGATAGGATCATAGATATATTCAAAGATAACCCGCACAACTTCCGGGATCCAACGGTGCATCTTTGTTCCAACAGACAGGTAACAAAGCTCAAGCAGTCGCTAGTGTTCTAAATCTCTTCAGGACGAAAATCTCTGCGGCGTCGGATCCGGCTACAACAGAATGAGTTAAATAAATGGTAAGCATATCCAATTATTAGTCACTTACTACTAACAGACGAGTCTGAGTGACTCAACACAAATTTCAGATCTGGAGACACAGCTGTACCAGGCTGTGCCTAGTGTGCCGGTCTTCGCTCACTTTACGAGTAATATCGTGACTCGGACTGTGACAAGCTGTGACAACGTGATCATTATGAATAAGCGCAGTGCCGCAATCAGTTGTTCGCCACAAACCCACCGTCTACGGCATAGACCATCGCTTCCTTTCAACTCCCACTTTGCACGAAAGCCATAATATAATGAGCAACCTCGACTGGGACAGCAAGACCGTCATCGGATTCAAGGCTAAAGCCCCAAAAGTTGCCCGCAATGCGTCGGACCTAAATGGTGAGTAATGGTACAGTCATTTGTACTTGAAATACATGTTTGACGAACGTAAATTTTAGCCGTATGTCTCCTTCACTTCCAGATCAAATATATTTGACTGACAATCTCAAAAGGCGCGCAGAACAGGGGCTGTCGTTGCTACAGACAAGAAGGTCACCGCCGGTGGGAACAAAGCCCGTCCAGGTACGTCTTTAAACAAGTCAGTCAGTATCACACGAATTACTGACTGTGTGCATGCAGGGCCAGATCACCAACGCATTGCCAAACTTGACCGCGAGAACGAAGTCGCTCCTCCACCGAAAGTCAATGCAAGTGTCGGCAAGGTCGGTACTGACTCGTGGTCCATCACGTGAGCGCTAACACAGCACGCAGGCTATCCAAACTGCTCGCATGGAGAAGCAGTTCACTCAGAAAGACCTGGCCCAGAAGACGAACGAGAAGCCTTCTGTAATACAGGACTATGAATCCGGAAAGGCTATCCCTAATCCTCAGGTCCTCGGCAAGTTCGAGAGGATTCTGGGTGTCAAGCTTCGTGGTGAGCACAGACGTCCCATTTTAAGCAGCATTCGGAAATAACGTGCATTTACAGGTGCGGATATTGGAAAGAAGCTGGAGGGGCCGAAAAAGTCGTAATTTGACCCCTCCGTCGTCGCATTAGATCGACATATACCGGTGTGAATTGCTATCACATATATAGTTCTGCCTGTCATCACTAGATCCTTTCGCAATATTGTACTGGACATCGTTTGCAATTCTGAGCGTAATGGAAATCGAAGGAAAATAAAAGCAGCTACCGAGCAACAAGGGAATGTTATACATGAACTTCACTGCGAAACAATTATGAGCCCTGTTCTGCGTCTGGCGCTCCCTGTATCTCTTGACATGAGCGCAGACATGATGAACGGCGAACGGAAAGAACTTACATAAGTTATATAATCTGCACTCTCACAAGCCTTGTACTCTTTGAGCAGCTCCTCAGCAGTCGCTCTGATGGGCCACCAGTAAGTCAAGTCCCTGGTCGTAGACTTCGAGAGTCACTCACCTCGCATCATCAAATTCTTCCAGTCCGTTCTCGAACATCTTCTCTTTCTTGTATTGCTCCAAAAATGCATTTCGTTTGCGTAGCCGGTCAAACTGGTCGAGCATCCGCTTGAATAGCTACAGAAAGAAAAACAAGTTTTAGCATCAAGTGAAGACATACACAAATGTCTTTTTACCGAAGCAATACTTGTGTGGTTAGCAAGCATGAGTCCACTGACACGGTGATTTGTCGTTACATATGGCGAACGACGTGTCAAAGCAACTTGTATCGATGCTGGTCCCCAAGGTATAAAGTTCGCAAGTTGGCGTTCTCGTATCCGCAGAAGCGATTGGTGCACCTACATGCCAGACTGAGTGAGCAGAGCGTCAAATGAACAACAAATGGTAAGAGTCGTACGTCAGTTGGGTCGACATCTCCTTGGATGATATTCAAAATCGAGATGTAGCAGGCCGTTTTGCTTGGTGTTGTGGACACCATGCGGTTCTTGGGCTGAAGCAAACGCCGCATGACGTCAAGGACAGTTGTTCTACGAATTGGTTTTGCCTGATGATACAGGAGATAAGTGAATTTGTGCACCAGAGACTGAGGATAGGAACCTTGTCGATTTGATCACTTGTGAAGGGCGTGTACGAGGTCATGAGGAAGTGGCATCGAGGCGTTGGTATGAGTGAGGCTATTATACCCACAAGGTCGTTGTTCATATATCCTGGATATCGAAGTGTCTGCGTACTCGCAGCCATAACTGTAGAGACCTTTGGTAGTAATCAGGCTGAGCAATCAAACAATATCACTCTGTTTGTGCACTCACGAGCTGATTTGTCTGGTCAAAAGTAGGCGTCTGGACGTGCAGCCGATCTGCCGATATTCGCGCCAGTGCGCCGTTATCCAGGACAACGACCGAGTCAGCGTGGTTTGTTAGACGCTTAAGGGTAAGGAGAGAATTGTAAGGCTGCACCACAACATCACCCTCATTGGCGTTCGGGAAAACAGAGTATGTTTGGATGAGCTTTTTAGGAAACTTATCATTCAAGCGCTCGAGGATGAAGGAACCGAATCCTGAGCCCGTGCCGCCTGCTATTGAATGCATAAGCATGAAGCCCTGTAAGACAGCTCATGAAGATCTACGAAGACCAAGGCGAAGCAGAAGCCGATGCTCACCTCCAGAGAGTCGCTTCCCTCAGCTTCTCGGTCAATCATTTCCATGACCTCCTCGTACAGTCTCTCCCCAGAAGCATACCCATGCGCCCAGTTATTTCCAGCGCCACCTCCATCTTTCGACATAAAAATGTTTTCTGGGTTGTACAAATTCGCCCACGGTGAGGTGAGGATGTTGTTGATGACCTAGACAATGCTACATAGTTAAGAGATCAGTTGCAACGCATCGTAGGAGCACGTACGCGAGGCTCGAGGTCGACCAGGATCGCGCGTGGAATATAATGCTCGTCATCTGCCTGGTAGAAGAAGACATCTTTGCGGTCCCCGCCTTCGGTCGCCCATTCCTCGAGGATACCTTCTTTGTTGATCCCGTGTTCAGCACAGAGGCGTTGCCAGTATACAGCGCCCACTTTTTTCAGTCGCTAGATCAGAATACTTGAAGTTTGAACGGGCTTCGAGAGCTCACCTTGATTGCCACATTGTCCGAGCTGGACTGTTACTATTTCACGAGGCATGATGGACGCGGGACGCGTTCAAGATTGCATCAAATTTACGCGTGACGCGCATCTGGTATCATTAACTCATTCACACACTGCATTTAGACTCATAACAGCAGAAGAGTTATTAACATTATATGAACCACCTCCCACTAACAACGAAAACATTTGCACGTAGAAAGAGAAGTTAATGATGCAGGTAACTATGTGATTGTGTCTACGGGCCTTGAGCCCAGTGAGTATGCGTACTATGTCAAATCAAACTTGTGTCATGGAGATAAGCGTGTGGTGGCCTTGAGCCATCCAGGTGTGACGACGAAATAGATCCCCTGGGTGAATGTTGTTGTGCGCTACAGGACGAGCAGGGACGAGCTGCTGACTTTGGGAAGACCCAAGGAAACAGATGCGTAAAGAGAAGCACCATGCTAGGTGCACGCCAGTTGATGCTTGACATCAGAATTGGTCGGGGTGGAGTGAGGTGATGGTAGCGCAATTGAAAGCAAAGATGAAACGAGACGAGACGAGATGAATTTTCTGTGGAGAAAGTCCGTAATAGCCCATGGGTTGCCAAAAGGAAAGGTCTCGGAGACGATTAGCGTCTCCCAACTCCACGACGAGGAAGCTTCTTGATTTGTCTTCCATCAGGCTGGGGAGCAGCACCGATGGTAAATAGAGCACCTCCGCCAGATGAAGCGGTAGTAGGAGCAAATGAATTTGGCGTTGCAGCCGGCGCTGCACCCGACTGACCGAATGCGAACCCACCGCCTGAGGGCTGTGGAAGCCCGCCGGCAGAGGTAGCTGGCGACGCAGGCTGACTACCACCAAACGCAAACGAAGGAGCAGCAGGCTGCGTAGACGCAGGTGTGCCAAAAGAGAACGATGTCCCTGGGCGGTTAAATGCCGACGGACTCGATGGTGCTGACGATGTGCTTTGCTGCTGTCCAAATGCGTTGCTTGCGGTCTGGCTGAATCCAAACCCTGGAGTCGGCGCCACATTAGGTGATGCTGCCTGCGAAAACGAGAACGGCGCTGCAGATGCCGGGGCAGGTGTTTCAGTTGCGCCCTGCCCAAATCCAAAGCCTGAACCAGAAGGCTGGCCAAAGCTCCCAGAGCCAAACGCCATCCCCGGCTTCTCCTTGTCCTCTGGCTTCGCGAATGGATTGGCACTGGCCGTATTAAATCCGAATCCAGGGCCTGTTGCCGTAGCAGGGCTCTGCGCGAAGAGGGTACTCCCTGCGGGGGTGCTACTGGCACCAGAGAAAGAAGAGAAATCGAGTGTTAGCCGTTCTGGCGCTTTCCCGTTGGTGTTCATGTCGCGACTCGGGCTCTCGTCCATGCTAATCTCCTGGTCTACTTTTGGTGGCGTGGCGGGACGGGCGGGTGCAGGGGCAGGGGCAGACTGCCCAAAATTGAACGGTTTGCTCGTGTCAGCGGTATTGCTGCCCGCATTGGCATGCCCGAAGCTGAATGGCTTGGCTGTAGCAGTAGGTGGTGCAGGAGAAGGGGTGCCAAATGTGAATGGCTTCTTCTCAGCTGGGGCAGGTGAAGCAGACGCAAATGAGAAAGGCGGAAGAACTGAAGTAGGTTTCTCCTCTGCGGGCGCAGTGCTGGGGCGTGGGCCGAACGAGAATCCAGCCGCCGAGGTTGTATCTTGCTTCCCGAAAAACGGTTTTGGAGCCTCTATCACAGGAGCAGGCACGGGCGCAAGGGTCGTAGAAGGTGCGGGCCCGCCGAATGAGAAAGCACTCTTCGATGGCTCTGTCATCGCAGGACGTCGGCGCTCGTTCCCCGAAAGAGAATCCAGGCTTGGATGGCTCGGCTGCAGGTGCAGAAACAGCGGGTGTGCCAAAGCTGAATGGGGCAGCAGATGCGGTAGCTACAAAGAGCGACGGAGGTTTGCTCGCTTCTTGCTCCGCTGGCTTCGGAGCTTCATTTGCAGGGGCAACTTCAGCAGGTGCAGTTGAAGCACTAAACAAGGATGGCGAAGAGGACGGTGCAGGGGTAGAGGCATGTGCCGGCGGCGGAGAAATGACGGGGGAAGCGACAGGCGTCACCTCTATCGCAGCAGGTGCTGCTTTTGGTGGTGCTAAAACACCAAATGACGTGCCAGTGCTAGTGGAAGAAGGGCCGAAGATTGAGGTACTTGCAGACACAGGAGCTGCTCCGAACATAGAATTCGCAACAGGCACGGCGGATGGTGTGCCAGGTACTTGAAGAGCAGTTATAGGCGTACCAAACAAGGAAGTAGAGGCCTCAGTGACTTTTGGAGCCTCTGGCACTTGTGCTAGTGCTGGTGTTGGTGCGAGAACAGGAGGGGGTGCACCAAAAGATCCCGAGAGGGTAGTAACAGCCAACGGCTTGGTATACGCAGCCGTATTAGAAAAGAAATTGGGAATATTAGAAGCACTCGTGGAAAGGGTAGCTGTAACGGGTGCAGCCTCAGTACGTTCCTCTGATTTGGGCGGCTGTGGGGTAGGAGGAACAAACGAGATGGTAGGAACTGCTGGAGCAGGGGCTGCAGAGGGCTCGGGTGCTGAGACCGGCTTGGCCGCAGGTGCAATCGGTTTAGACAATGAAAATGGAAGCGCACTGATGGGTGGTTCTTTTGTGCCTGTGGCATCATGAGGTATGGATGTCTGTGGAAATGATGAGATCGTTTTTTCACAAGTGCCATAAAACTGATCTACCTCTTTCGCAAACGTGAACCCAGCAGGGATTTCGAATACGGGTACTTTCTTTGCAGCCTCCTCGAGTGCAGCTCTTTCATCATCCATAACATCCTCGTCATCTTCAAACGCCGCAGAGAACTTATTTGTGCGCTTTGCTGACGGGCGCTCAATGTGATTGCGCATCCGCGAGCGTCCAACGCGGAGAGACGACATCTCCCTTGTGGTACTGAGCTTCGGCTCGAATGCAGGTGCCTTCGGGAGTGCAGCAACCTCCATCTGCTTCTTACATTGCGCTTCTTCCGCCTTAGCTTGCATTTGTTGTTCGCTTAACCTTTCAGCCTCAGCTCAGCACTCTCGTCCTCCTCCATCGCTCGCTCTTTGTCCTTCTCTCGGTCAGCCTCCTCATACGCTCGCACCGCCTCCTCTTCTCGCCTCCTCCTTGCCAGCCACTTCTTCATGCCACCCTCGCCCGCGTATGGCTTTGTCCCATTGACACCATCTCGATCCTTCATCTTGTTCTTGCCTTTCCCCTTCTTACGCTCTCGGTCCCGGTCATGCATAAGAGTGATAGGGCGGCTCTTCTTGGATATAAAAGTGTCCGGGATCGGTGCACCCTTGAGGCGCGAGGGAAGGAGGGGAGTTTTGTATACCTCAAGCTCATGCAGGGCCTTCTCGGCGGGATTGATCGGCCAAAGATGGGCTATTGCAGGATAATCAATTATCAAAAGCGATTAAGAATGTGGGTATACGCACGAGCAGATATATCCGTCATGGATCCAGTGCCGAACAGAACGGATCCCCGTCGGACAGGTGAACGGGTTTGCTGAAAATTCGTGTCAAAGGTACGTCTTCGACAAGAGAAACAAGAAGAGAAAAAAATTGATCCTCACCTTACGTTGAGAGTCTAATAATGAACCAAGAGTGGCTTGTCTGGTCATTTCTGCAGTACTAGACTTCTGCAAGCCAGGCGGAGGCTTGACAAACATGGGGTTTGACATCAATGTCGTAAGCGGTGGCGGTTCGGTTGGATCGCGCTCCCTGCGAGGGGGAATAACGGGGCCAAAATCGGAACCCGAGGGCTGGGGTGTAACAGACGTACGCATACGAAGGTTTGACATGGACGGTTCCCTGCTGATGGACATGGCATCTTTCTCCTCAGTGAGATCTTGCATAGTCGGGACTGGCTGCAACCGTGCTGGCGAACCGAAATAGCCTAGTCCAGATGGAGGATCAAGAGACATAGTACGCACAGACGGCTGTGCCTTGAGCTGTGATCCACTTGGGTAAGGGGACATCGTGCGTCTATTACGGGGTGTGGTAGTAGGTACACGGAGAGCTTTTCGTGGCGAGGGCGAAACATGTCGATGATTTTGGATGCGTACGTCTTCAGATGTTCTATGGTGCTGCCTGAAGGCTGATCGAGGAGGATCAAGGTATGGTTGCTTATCTCTGTTGGGGCTGCCCATTCTCATTCTCTTGGTCCGTTGCTCTGAGTCTGAGTCTGAGTCATCGCGAGTCTGTTCAGAAGCGATGGGCAGCCGCCTTCGCTTTCCTCTAGCGTCGCCATCGTCAAAGTCTTCCTCGCTGCCACCAAACCATGAGAGTGGGGCAGTGACGATGTTCTTGATGGCGCCGAAGAACGAATTTTTGCGTCCTAGTGCGGCTGGAGGGGGATGGGCCTGTGTTTGGATATAGGTGCTCATCACTGTCTGCGTTGACGAGAACAGTTTTGATCCAGTGGTCGATGTCGTCCTGTGCGCACAAACTGACAGTGTCTACAACGCGTGGAGAACCCTCACGGGATGCAAACTTTGCTCCGTTTCATCCGCACAAGAACACAAACGAGGCGATACTCTCCCACGATCACACAATTGGGTCATTACGTTAAACTTATAAGGAACTGCCACTGGTAAATCATTCAATCATTGACAATTTGCTAGTAGCCAGCTAGCTGGCAAGATTCTGATAGGCTGCAGCATGTATTCGAGAAGTGCGTTTAACTTGGCTGCTCGAAATTTACGCTCTTTATCACACCAGACACGACGAATGCGTACGAGTATACGTGTATTCACGCACACACCAGAGACAGCGAGCACATCTAAATTGGACGGGGACGCAAGTGACTTTGAGACCAGGGGTTCCCGATACTAATTATTGTCTATAGTCTCAAGAACGATGGTTGTTCATCGATTCCATCTTTCCTATTCGCCTCGGTATCTGGGAGTTCGTACCACCCAAGTAGTACACCTCCTACCTTATGTAACTAAACCCACGCAGCCTTCGACACTACATTGGCATATTACGCGAGGAACACCTTTTGGAGCGCTTGCATGAGCGTCTCGAGACCATAAAGACGCACGACTTCCACATTCGAGAGCTCCAGCCTTATCAGAAGGACGGCGGTGTCTTTGTGCGCTTCACTTATACCGCCCGTGATAACCAGAACGCGCTCGAAACGCTTCAGGCGGATCTCCAACTTGAAGCTACCAAGCATGGCGGTCTCCCCTCTTGGTCTGGACTTAATTACTGCAATATCTGGCTCGTGAAGGGCGAGCCGTTTCTTGAGGTGCGTTTTCGCAAATAAAAGTTGCTTGGCGAGAATGCAAACAACACGATCAGGATATGTACCGATATCCGTCAGGAATCGTCCACGTGTCCTTCCAGGGCCCAGATGTTCCTGAAGAAGCCTTGTATAGTCTATTTCGAGTGAGTCCACTCATTTACAAGTTTACTTCTCCTTACACCATGCTAGCCATGCGGCCGAATACTCAATATCACCGCCCCTACACCCGTTCCCGTAGGCACGCACCGCTCCTCTGATATCCTATTCCACCGCGTACGCTCCGCCACTGTCGCACGGAACACCATCCATGGATACACATTTTCTGGTGGTGGTGGAACAACACGCCTGAGGACTATATACCAACGCCCCATTCAGGCTCATGCAATTAGGGACTGGCTGGCTTCGCATCCCAGGATCGTGTTGCCGATCATATTTTTCTTACTCGGCACGTTGACTTACACTGTGTGTGAACTATTTTCCGATTTATTCATGAGCTAGAAAACAATTGTTTAGATATTCGATCCCATAAGAGTCCTCTCTGTCGAAGGGAAGATGCTTAATTGGTTCGATTATCGCGGTAAGTATTTTCGATCGTGGTCATCGAACGTACCAACTCATTTCTTTCATTTCAGAATACAAATTATATAAATGGTTTCGTGCGAATGCCTTGGACCGGTTCTCCCTCACGAGCTTGGCTCGTGAAGACGTCTCTCCACAGGGAGATATCTGGAAGGAGCGTAAGGACGCAGAAAGCGCTGTACGGAGCTACCTCTCTGACCTACCTTGTAAGTTTCTCGCCCATCTTCCAATGTAAAATGCTAACAGCACAATTTGAATAGCTACTGTTGCATTTGTACATGGTCCCCAGGGCAGCGGCAAATCGCGTATGCTCGAGGCTATCATCCGCGACACTGGCAGGTTTGTAACACGTTATATCCATCTAGACACCGCTTATCATGATTATAGAAAAGCTTTAGTGATCGATTGTGCTGAGCTCAATAGAGCGACATCAGACACGCGTCTTGTTTCCGCACTCGCACATCAGACCGGCTACAGACCAATTTTTACCTTCCTAAACTCCGTCAACAACATGGTGGACATTACGACGGTTGGCCTAATCGGGCAAAAAGGTGACTTGATTGATTCTTCTTCACTTCGTTGACTAAATAATTAACGTATTTCTAGCGGGCTTCAAGTCCTCCCTTGAAGACCAGCTGAAACAAATTCTCGAAGTCACTGGCACAGCACTGAAGAAAGTCAATCATTCCCTTCGCACTTCTGCGCAGCGCACTGTTAAAGCAGCACAACAAGCTGAAGCACGACAAGCCGAAGAAGTGCGGACTCGAGCCCGCATTCGCGCCGGGACATGGCATGATCCACGGCTGGACTGTATCGCCGGAAACGGCATTATATGCGAGCTTGGGGTGGGCGACGAGTTACTAGAGGGCGATGACAACGGGTTTGCGAGCTTCGATGCGATGGAGAAAAATGTCGTAAACTACAGTGGTGGAGAGGAGAAGACGAACGAGGAGCTAGCGAGACAACAACGCCGGCACGCAGAGGACGTGCAAGCTGTACGTACGCTGCCGATTGTCGTCATCAAAAACTATGCCGCACGGGGAGGAATTTACAAGGAGGAACTTCTCGGCGTTTTGGCGCATTGGGCAGCGTCCCTCGCTGAGAACCAGGTAATTCGCATCGCTCCACTCGTCAATTGTGCTCCTAATGTCTTTCGAGATTGCCCATGTTATCGTGGTCAGCGATAACCGCGAGAACGCAAAGCTACTGGCCCGGGGTGTGTGTTATATATATACTCTTATGAGGTATTGTTAACATGGCGTTGCAGCGTTGCCTTCCAAGCCATTGAATTCTATTGCCCTGTACGACGCTGATGCCCCTACTGCACTCTCCTTCGTTCGCAGACGCCTGCACGATGCTGGTATCACATCGGACCTTACGCCTGCACAAAATAAGGCCATAGAGCGCCTTGGCGGCCGCACGAGCGACCTTGAACGTGTGAGTTATATGTTGCCTTACTTAACGCGCATATTAATACACTTCCTCGCATATAGTTAATCCACAAAGTCTGCGGTGGTCAAGGCATCGAAGAAGCGGTAGAAGACATCATCGCTAGCGGTGTCGGAGAACTGAGGAAGAAAGCCTTTGGAGAGGACATCGACGACGCCAAGAGTTTGCTGTGGTCCAGGGAGCAGGCGTGGACCGTGCTCAGGCAGCTGGCACGCAAAGCTGAGGTACTCAACCTCGTGTGCTAGTCGACAGGTTGCTCACTTTTCTCGTCAGCTGCCGTATTACGAAGTGTTACTCGATGCGCCTTTCAAGGGAGACGAGCTGCCACTTCGTGCCATGGAACACGCTGAGATCATATCTATCAGCACACAACATGGTATTGTCAATCATTCAGGCTGGGGGACAGTTGTCTAATTTCCTTGTCAGGCCGACCATCCACGATACGTCCCGGAAAGCCTGTGTTCAAATGTGTCTTTGAGAGACTTGTGAACGGTAACGGGCAATGCGATTGTTGTCTAATTTCCCCTCACTGACGATACGTCAGACCCTGTCTTCCAAGCCATACAAGACATCGCGCTCAACGAGAAAATTATCTCGAGCGCTGAAACTACCGTTCGTACATGCGAATCCGAGCTTAGCACGCTTCAGGACCTCTCAAAAGCGGAGCGGACATTCTGGTGGTTCAGGCGTAGAGCAACATCCGAGCGGAAGGAATACTTGTTGAAGAAGATGCGTTCCGCACAAACAAAGGTTCAGACTCTGGAGAAGCGGAATGTTGAGCTGAAGAGAGTATTGGCGAAGGGAAATTGATGATATAGTATCGTACGCTGAATGTTTCGCATTCATATGCTCTTCAAATTCTACAGATCAACTTTTACGAAGTAATGGGTCCACAGACGCTACATAGTACATGCATGGGTTGAGTGCGCCTAGGGTAGACTGCGATTGACGTGGTATTGTTCTCCCGGTCCAGTATAGACACCCTGGTAAACAGTTAACTGTGACACCTCCGCGCCTACGAAGCATGGGCATGTAGAATGGTGATTCAATACAAAGCATCAATATTTACACTATTGCCACTCTCTTATCCACCCCTGGATCCGGCCACCCTTGCTTCCAACTCTGCTTTCGACGTATACATTTCTCATAATATTTGAATTGACAGTATCGACTGGAGGAATATTTACGATGTCACTTGTGAAAGTGACATCGAAGAAATTCCTAGACTAGACAACTGGCTGCAGTGTCCTAAGAGAGATGCGACTCCATCAAAGGTCGGCAACGGAGCAACGGGCCAGCAGCCTCGATCACCTAATTAGAGTTTGAATCCGTAGGCGTGGGCAAGACAGGGCCCATGATGTTTTTTACGAAGGTAACATCAATGAGCGTGGTGCCTATATCCGCAAGATCCAGGCAGTTAAGTGCCTTGAATGATAGGAGCGCATGCAACATGAGAGGTGACAACGGCCGGTTTGCCGCTAGCCTCATCGTCTGATATCCCCTACGAGTTCAATTTCAACTCTGAGTTCTCCAGTATGCATGAAGCACGCCCGAGTGTTGAAGTTAGTGCAGTAGAGATGCTGCTGTTCAGAAGAAATTCATGCAGGAGATAGTGGAAGATATGTAACTGATGGCGCTGGATGCCACAAATACCCTCTTACATGGCCTATTGGGAGATATTTGAGGTGGAGAACTAATTTGCGACTTGTAGCCAGTTGCGAGCATTAATACAACAGCCTAGAGTGACAAAGCATGGAGGTCTAGTGGTTCTGGCGCACTGAGCCTAGATACAGTCTATCCATGCCAGCCAGTCCCGAAGACAGGACCGTTCATCGAGAATAGGTTCGTAAAGTGATTTAAGCAGCGTTGCCTGAATTTTAGGGTGATACAAAGGTAACATTTGTGGTGATGATGGTGCGCCATTTGGACCTGGCCCAAGAAATACGAATGTAGCTAGATAGGCTTGATCTTGAAGTGAAGAGAAATGAGGGAGAATATCAAACACTAAACAAATGGCTGTAAGATCGTGTAAGGGAAAACAGGCGAAAGCACACCTTCAAGTCTTGTACAAGGTAGTAAAATACACGAAGTCCTTCAGGATCCTCGCTGTCTTGGATATCAACAAGCGACCCGATTTTCGCAGTCTAAATGTGACGAATGATTTATAAGATCGTATGTGTAAAAGTACTGCTAGTCACGAACCTCGAAAGCAATGTGGTCATTGCCCACACGTATCTCCAGTTCTTGCTTTCCAACGATGTTTTTTTTCGGCCAGTTCGTATCGTCTTCCCTGGACGGCAAGTCAGCAGGTCGGAAATGGGGCGAAGAGTATGATTACTTTGTGATTTCGCTCGATTCCACAATGCGCTTGAGCTCCTTGACCACTAACGGCCCAACCCACACTAAGGACTTGGGTCAGTAGCCGCGTGGCCTGCAGGATGAATTACTGACTTTCTTTCCGGATCAAACTGTCATTCCTATAATTCGAGTTGTTGGCATATCGAAGACGACCATGGGAGTACTCAAACTCCAAGAATTCATGGCCGTGTTTTCCTGAATGGCCAGTGCTGCATGAATACTTAGCGACATCACAAACGGGATTCAACATGATTTACTAGTATCTAAAAACGCCTGTCAGCCCAGTTATTTCATGAATTAGTAGCACACCCGCCTGAGATAGAATGGGTCACTGTCATGGGAAGACATAGCGGTCTATTGTTGAGACTTGACAAGCTTGACCAAGCTCAAATTGGAATATTAGTGAGAGGGATTGGCAAGAACTGCGATCCGGCATTCGCCGGGTTCGATATTTTGCATACTGAAGTAGCACCAGTCGCGTTTCGCGAACTTGAAAACATGTTGCCTCGACGATCTTGTCTGGCTCTGCCAACTATAGCCAGATTGGTGCGGTTCAATGGCAGCAGCAGCCACATGAGGTATGTGCTTTCTCGTTGCATGTCTTGCAGCTGAATGATATCAGCCTTTATGCAGTGCTCCACTGTTGCCTACTCGAAAACTGGAATCGGAGGCTCCTGCACCATTGACGGAAGAAGAGTTTTCTTCCATGATCATTCATGGACGCAGCCTATATCCCCCGTCATACCACCCCCGCACCCATTCAGTTCCAGTCGCTCAGCTGCAATTCCGCGCATATCACCATCAATTCCTTGAACTGTACATGCATTTTGTAGGACATGCAGCTGCAGCATTAGGCATCCCAATTTCACGCCCGGTGTACTTGCCAACGCAACGCTCGCTATGGACTGTACCTCGCGGTCCGTTCGTGCACAAGAAGAGTCAAGAGAACTTTGAACGGAAGGTGCACAAACGTGCAATTAAAGCATGGGATGCAGACCCCGAGGTCGTCGACCGTTGGGTGCGGTATATCGCTCGACATGCGATGCCTGGAGTTGGGTTGAGAGTGACTCAATGGAAGAGGGCACCTCCTGGTATCGGACAACAGATGGTAGATGCGACGGTGGGCACAACCAGACTGGGCTCCGGTGCCGATAACGTCAAGGCGTTGGCGAAGAAAATTGTGCAGCAAGAACTTTGATCTTTTATACTCTATCTTTTGTCTATCTCCCACTATAATCACCTGGTGGTCTGTAGTTGCCATGCATGATATTACTGTAACTAGAGTACCGACCCCATTTGAACCCATGCATGTTTTACTGCTATCCTACACAGCCAGAGCTTGTCAGCGTCAGTGTAGTTTCAACCTTTAAGTTTTAAGGGTGATGCTGATCACGCTTTGAATTCATACCAGAGACTGTACGAAAATTATAAATGATATTAATAAGTTATGTTGGTAACACCTTTGATTTCATGCACGTGGTACATGTTCGTTCAGATCTGACAATGCCACATTCAAACGATCAAGTTGAGGCCAAGTTGTGACGTTAAAAGTTGCAGTGAACTGAGGCCTTGGGGATGAGCCGACGTATACTTGGATTGACAGGCGCATCGACTGGGGGAAATAATTATGATGTCACTTGTGAAAGTGGCATCGAAGAAGTTCCTAGACTGGACAACTGGCGGCAGTGTCCTAAGATCCATAATCAAAGGTCGGCACCCTTGAATGATAGAAACTCTGTGAGTTCCCCGGGAAGCATGAGACACGCTTATAAGCGCGAGAAGAAACGTTCGGAGAAATATTCATCCAAACCCTCATAATAAATAATCAGACATTGAATCGTGAGGTGGACGTTTCGGAAGAATGCGTGAAAGGATGAAGGTGAAGGAATTGATATACATAAAAATTCTTTGAGGAAAGGACATGACGATGATGCGAGCGATGCAACAGCGGCACGCTCCATGAAATGCTGAAAGCATGAGTTTCGACAAATTGGGCCCACAGAATAACGCAAGAAGGGGGAGAAGACTTCACCAATAGACAGCCAAGTCAGAGCTAAGCTGAGGTTCGGAAGGAGGGTCCTAATGGAAGAGGAAAACAGCTTAGAAGTTGCATCACAAGCTATGTTAGATCGTGGTGTGCATGACGTGCGAGAGTCCGAGAGTCCACTGGACGATCCCAGATCTTGAGTACTAAGCGTGGAATCTGAGTAATGAGAAGAAGAAAAATCATGATGGCCAATTCACCAATTGGTTGTTGCAATTCCGCTTCCCACCGGAACAGAGAACGAACATGTCCAGATAGTCTAACCGAGTCCACAGAACATCCAGGACAGGGTCTTTAAATGCTCGACACGTTCGTCGTTCTTGCTAAACCAGCAACCGTGACTAGACGACCCTCTGTATCCCCTGATATGCGGTGCTAGGGATCGAGGATGACAAGACTCGGAATCCAATGGTGCATAATAAATTCGTGAACTCATGATCAAAAGGGCAACTGAGCTGCGGGCACGATTGTCACCTTGATCGCAAGTTCAGGACAGAAATCTACTATCATGATTTGTCTGAAGTTTGGCTAAAGCTTTGAATTCTAACATGAACAAACAACACTTCGCCACCAGCCTTGCAGACGGTATTCAGACAGTAGGCACTTAAGTACTAGAACCTGGCCTACCGCAGCTCATATACGGCCCCGAACATGGATGCACAAGGACATCTTTTGTCACTGAAAGTGATGCGGGTATCTGTGGGTAGACAATCTTTCAGCGCGCGACGTGGTGATCAATGCTGTTATTTAATGACAGAGACCATCGCTAGCTAGTGCATGGCAGCCCTTCTATTCCAGCTCTCCTTCATTCTCTGCCCACTCTACTGCGTCCATTCTTTCCCTGCAAGGAAAGTCACCTCTCCCAGGCCACCCCAAGACTCTACGGGATCTCACTCAAGCATCCGAGTTCCTTACACTACCCGCCTCATTTGGAGCCATTCAGCTAGGCGAAACATTCTCCAGTTGCATATGCATCAATAATGAGACAAATATCGACATAGAGGGCGCTAGTGTTCGCGTTGAGATTCAGACAGCAAACTCCAAGATACTACGTGGCCGAACTTGGTGGCCCAGACTTCAAGCTCGCGGTAGGGAGATTCACTAGAATATATAGCCCATCACGAGGTGAAGGAGTTAGGTCACCATGTTCTAGCTTGTATCGTCTCGTACCACCTGCCTCCGTCATACCGACATACCCCTGGTGCTAGTGATCCCTCAAATGAAGCAACCTTCCGCAAGTTTTACAAGTTTGCTGTATGTAACGCTTCTAGTCGGACTTCTAGCGATTTGAACATTTCAACTGATAACGCGCTAGGTCACGAACCCTCTATCTGTAAAGACAAAGGTACACACGCCTCGGTCTCCGTCGGCGTTGATGACTTACGTCAGAACGCGAGAAAGGATTTCTCGAGGTCCACATTCAGAACTTAACCCAAGACGCGATGTGGTTCGAGCGCATGAAGTTTGAATGCGCAGAGGGATGGAGCGTTGTCGATGCCAACACGACAGGTGATGATAAGGACCAGAGATTATTCTCTGGTTCGACGGCTCTCATGCAACCACAAGCCATAAGACAGTACATCTATATCCTGACCCCAACATCGTCTTCCTCGTTTCTGTCGTTCATCCAGGCAGTGTCATCCCTCTCGGTAGACTTGACATCTCATGGCGTTCTCAGTTCGGCGAGCCTGGCCGTCTATTAACTTCGGTGAGATCACTGTCCAAAAAAGTAGTTTCATCACTCACTTTTGACACGTAGATGCTGTCCCGTCGATTTCCTGGCCCTTCTCCAGCTCCGAACTCAACTCCAACTCCAGCTCCCCCACTCCAGCACCCTGTCTCAGCACTTCCTCCTTATCTTCAGCGCACCGTGCCAAGTGCACCATCCTCGCCCGCCCGACCACGATCTCCACAACTTCCCCCTTCTCGACCTAGTTCTCCAACTCCGGCTCCATACAGACCAGGCTCACCCTTTCGCACGCGCCCGATGTCTGGCCCTTCGCATCCGCAATCACCCGCAGCTGGATCTATATCCACCATGAACATGTTTGTCGCACCAAATCAACAACAATCAGCACCACCGGTGCCTGCTCTCGTATTGGACGTCGAGGTAGATGTTATCATAAATCATATTGCCAGGGAATCTATCACTGTTGAGCGACCCTTCAAGATCGCTTTCACTGCCACTGTTTCTGCTGCTCTACCAAAGGCCAAAGGGAAACAAAGGGTCATCACTCTTGCTGTACAACATCTTCAATATCCGCGTGCCACAGCGATTGCATACCCTGAACCATTCCAAGCCACCGAGACCGTTAGCTCACGGTTCTCGTCCCTCGGCCTCACTTCTGCGACGTCAACACTTGTCACTCCTGTGCAAGGTTCCCCCAACATGACAAGCGAGAATCTCTTGGTTATCTCGCCAGAGAAGATGATTGCACGACCCACTTTGCCACCCCCTTACTTTGAGTTCGCTGACGAGGAGAAATGCGTGAAGTTGAAAGGCTGCGTATCTGTTGGGTCCTCCACACAGTTTTTGAACCCGATTACACTCACCGATCCAGTCACGCCAATCATCATGAAGACTCATCGGATGGTGATGTGGAGAAGGCAGAGGGTAGTCAAGAGTTTGAACTTACCTTCCTGCCTGTGCAAACAGGATTTGTGCGAGCGGGCGGCCTGCGCATCCTACTGGTTAGGGATGAGCTCGTAGATGTTGGTTCAGATCAGGCTACTCGCCGCTTAGGGTCCGCGATGGAAGCAAAGACATTGAAAGAGTTAGATGTAGTCGCTGAACTTTGGGTTCATTCATGATCATGATTTCTTCAACTTATTGCAGAGTTAGTAGGATGGACCACCGCATGTATAGTTCAAGTGCCTATGATTGGAGGGTACAATACTACAAATGCCCGACAGCCAAGATAGAACCTGACGGAGCTCTTTTCCATTTGAATTGTGCTTGTTTCACGCCAATTTCACGCAGTAGAAGAATGATGCATTGATCTAATCGATCAGCCCCGTAGCTGCAGTACCTGCAAGGGGCAAAAAGCTGATGATCTCGAGCGAAGAAAACACCACTCAATGCATTAAGAGGGAATCGAACCCCCGGCGGGTCGATGGCAACGACCCAGGTTACCACTACCCCATTAATGCTTGCGTAATGCCACATTAGTGGCATATATTAGAGCTCGCGGTGTCGACAACGAGCTACATGTGTCTGATTTGCTAATACCTGCACTGAGGCCGAGTCGGTGCCCAGGGATATCAAATAAGGCGCTAGTATGCTACAGAACATCAAATCACCCGATGGCCGAGACTAACCCTCCAGTTATGATAGTCTGCATACAGGAGCTAATGCTATTACTAGTACCTCAGCGTGATGATCCAGCCACTACAGTAGTCAGTATTCACATTCACTAATTAGAGACTCGTTAGATATTTAAATAATCTACTTGCGTCCAGATCGACGCTTTTCTTTCGCCTTCTCTCTATCCATAGCCTTTTGTTCAGCTCTCTCGCCTTCCAATGATGAAAACGCCTTATTCATGTGGTCCTTGTAAGCGCGGTCCTTTTCAGTCTGTTGCTTGTGCTCTACAGCTGCCAAGAACTTCGCATCCTTTCTGAGCTCACGAATGGCCCCCTTCTTTTCCTGCTTGAGTTGGTAGCGAAGCTTCGAGGCCTCGTTACGTTCATGATCTGGATCATGTCGCCGCAGGTAAGAGGAGGATCTTGACTCAAACTTGGGTATATATGTTGGGATCGGAATTGGCTTGTGGGCCTGTAGTAGAAGAGGTCTGCGAGCTTGACGAGCAAACTTCAATAACCTGGTGAGCTTGTCTTGCAAAGAAGAGGCTTGCGTCTAAAATCATGGTTAGTCTACCTTTCGCACAATCGTGATATCGACTCACTCGAAAGTCCTCCGAGAGTTTTGTGATGTCAAGCTTCGTGAGGATGTCTAAAACTGGTTGATAGAGTTCGATAAAACCGTCGAGGCTTTTGTACATTTCTGAAAACCGATCCAAGAGGCGAAAAGCGAGACCTAGCAGATCAAGTTTGTCCTGCTCCTGATAATGGTCGTGAGTCAAGAGCCGAAGCAGGTTTGGTGTGCGGAAGTCGAGATGCTTGGACTTCTTGACGTCGATCGCGAGGGGTGCACAGAGATCTGAGCGGAAGTCGGGGGAAGGAAATGAACCGGGTATTGATGCAGCGTTTTTAAGAGAGTTCGGAGCTAGGTGCAAGACCGCGTTGATAGAAAAATTGATGGCTTCTGGGACCAGGCGTTTGGATAATTCCTCGTACTGAAGGAAGGTGGATGATAAGAAGAGCCCACTCGTTATGTCCGTTAGTGACCGAACACGACACAGCCCCAAGTAAGCACCCATGAGAAGCCGTGCAGGTGAAACGACGGGATGGCTCATATCACTGCTAGACCATATGACTCCGATGGTGCGCAAAAGGGATAATTCAGCTGGTCCGGGCCATGTTCTTGCACCCAGTTCAAGAGCTCCCCGCGATAATCCCCGCTCCAAATTTTTGTGCATCAGCGAGAGTTTCTCCACGAAGATTCCCGCGGATTCGATCGGATACGAACGGCAAAGGGCAAAGAGGTGGGGAACAATAGAGTTCAGGAGCGTGAATCGTGGGGCAGGCGGAGATGTGATATAGAGTACATGGTCAACAAGGACCGATGTCAAGTTCTATAGAGAATGTCAATTGAGTTCCCAACTGTCAAAGAAAGGCGTTACCTGAAGCTTCACTTTATTTTCTGGGGAAAGGCTTGGGTGATGCAACGTGCGTATGCGCTGAACAACGACAGGCAGGTCCGTATCATCTATTTCTCCAATAATCTCCAGAAACTCTTCGTGCGACTCAGGGCAAGGGAACGTGAAGGGCAGTTCATGTCGAACGCCTGGTGGCTTGAGTTTTGCTGACTTCTGGCTGGTTGTGATTTCGTCAAATTCGCCTCCAGAGACGCTGCCTGCCTCACTGCCAAGGCTTGGTTCACTTCCCACCTCCACCTCACTGTTCTCATCTTCGCCATCGGTCTCCTCATCATCATCCACACCATCGTCCTCGCTGTCGTCCTCCTCATCCTCACTCACACCTTCGTCCGAATCCTCCTCCTCGCTGTTGTCCTCCGCAGCCGCCTGGTCGTTTATACCAACCTCACCTAATGCCAACCCAATACCTCCCCACGATCCGTCCCCTACAAAATCGTCCTCGAGGTCGTCGCCCCCACGTTCCCTCTTCCGTTTTCCGTGATTCTTTCCGCCGTCGTCACTATCTTCTCCATCTTCTCCAAGCATTCTCCGCCTTCGCTGCCTTTCTGCCTTCTCTAAAGCATCTTTCTCCTCAAGCGCAAGCTCGTCTTCAGTTTTTGTCCGATCTTTTGGCTTTGCGCGTTGATCAAACGCGAGTTCCCGAACCTGTCTGTCATAGTCCATTTGCTCATCTATGTCTACGGCAGAAATGCCAGGTTGGTTTCCAGAACCACCCAGGGAAGCCACGTTGCTGTCGGTTATCTGTGCGTCAGGCGCGAAGAGCAGACTTCTCAAGGAATCAAAGTCTTCATCGAGTTGATGCCGGATATTTTCCTCTTGTACTTTTTCCAGTTGACGACGGGCCTGAACCAAAATCAGGAAGACTCCGGTAAGAAGTATGATATGTTACCTTATGCTCTTTACTTTTGGCGATGAGTTCTGCCATAACTTCCGCTTTTGATTTCTTCCGGTCGGACTGGAGAAGTATGATGAGCACAACATGTCTCCTTAAGTTATGAGAGACGCACATGGTGATCTGTTTCGTCCTCATCCTTGTCGCCAAACCCGCCAAAGTGTGCCCTCCCCACAGTGTCATGATCAAGTTGGCCTTGAGCGAGTTAAACAAAATAATCTCGATGCAAAGCATAGGAATGCTCACCTTGATCATCGTCTTCGTCTTCGTCCATAGGCAAACCAACGTCGTCGAAATCATCTAGATTCGACAAGCTTTGGCCATAGTGCGTGAGCTGTTCTTCGCCTTCGAGATTGAATATGGTTCCTTTGGAAGCTCGCTGCCTTTCTTTCGTGAAACGCTCGAGCATACGTTCCTCAACAGACATAGAAGGGTCGTTTTCACCAAAGCGCCTATCGACAACTCCGCCAACACGACCTCTGTCCTGGAACTCTTTCAACAGAGTCTTCTCGCGCTATTGTAGACAATTTAGGAGACCTGTCAATACTCCTGGAAAGTAAAATATGCGCACCTGCTGAATACCTGCTTGTTTGCTCTGTGCGGGCTGTCCTTTGGACCCTTTGATCTTGCGTCCGCCGACATCATGTTTGAGCTTCGTAACCTTGATGTCGAAGGGATTCAGTTTTTTGTGTATCTCTTGAAGCTTAGCTGCCTTCTTGATTTTATCCTGGTCAATAGAGCCTGAACGTTTGCGCTTCTTTCCATTTTGCGGGGCCTTGCTGATCCCCGCTTGAGATAACGCCGATTTGAGCTGAGATAACTGAGATCCCTTCGCCATGCCTTGTGTGCTGTAATGAATGTGGCCCGCCAACAAAATGCAATGCTTATATAAGCAAATTTTCCCCTAAATCGCGAAAAACCGGCGTTCCTTTAAGTTAGTAAGGATATCATTAATTCCTTGGCTCGTACTACAGACTTCCATCTTAACCGGTCTTAGCCAAGTGTTAAATGTTCAGACGAGACAGAAATTCAGGCAACACCAGAGAGAAGCGTAGTTTCGATGAGATACAGTTCCGAGACACACAAGTTGTATGCTCACACCTCATGGGCCTCGCGATGTTCAAACATCCCACGTGTGTAAGTTACGAGTCACAGCTTTGCAGTGTCATAACCAACATCTCTTCTGATACAATCAAGGGAAGGCCCCTGGACGGGCTTCCCTTTCTACTTAAATTCATGCTGAAACACCTCGGCCAGTCGAGGCAGAACGGATACCATACCTCAATCTCGCCTCGGGGATGCAAGCGCTGATCTAACCGTGGCTGCGACGGTTTTGCAGTTACCTTGTCTGTCGGGATGATATAAGTTTATTCAATTAGTCAACTTAAAAGAAGACTTACCCTTGACTGACCCTGCTTTGATTGTGTTGCGATACGTGCATGCGCTATATATAGAGGCTTGGGTCGTCATTCGTGACGGGTTGAATCGTGCAAGAGCATCAATGCCTCACATGGTTTACGATACTAAGACACTGCATGCTGCAACCCTGCCAATATCGATGTCATTGTCGAGAACTGCAATGAACGCATCAAATCTTCCTTCTCACACTAATACATACCTCGGGAGGGTTACAATACCATGAAACATGTAACAAACACGGTAAACGAACACGCTGACATTGCAGACGACAAGAGCAATGGTAATCACGTACGAATGGGAGACGCAGCATGTAGAACGAGATACTAATGGTAGTTGCAACATACATCATGACGGCGGTGGTACGCGTGCTGATAATACGGAGACAGTATCGATGTCCGAGTGTGCGCTATACCGCTGACCAAGGGTGGCTGACGAGCTCCTGCACTGATAGCAAGGCATGATAGCGCACATCTGGGTCTGGATGAGTCATGAGCTCCATTGCGCGGGCTTTACCTCCCAAGTCTGTAATTATTCTGCGAAAACAATCAGATTGACGTAACGTTCAGGGTCATGTGGCTTTGCTTACTTCTTTCCTCGTTCGTAATGCTTCACATACTGTCCAAGGTCGTGAACTGCAACCGCCAGGACTACGGAGTCGTCGGAGCCTAGTAGTCCGATGAGGGTCCTGTAATAGGGATTAGCAATTGAGCAATTGATATATGAGGCTGACATTACTTCAATTGTTCATAGTCTCTATCATTCAATCTCGATGCATTTTCCCGCCAGAAGGCATCTGACTCGTGCACTGGTGTCCACGACAGATGACCAGATGCCAATTCAGACAAATATTCATCGTACGTCCTGCATCCCATTAATCAGTAAGAGATTGGAGCAGTATCAGCGTGCTCACGTCAAGCTTTCAAAGTTGCGTTCAAGCTCATCTCTGACATACTGTACGTCCTCCAAGATATCCTCGTCAGACCATTTCCGAGTTGAAAGGTTCTTGGAGAATGGAAGAAGCTGCGCGACAAGCATGGCCGGAAGATTCTCGGAAGGCGCCTTCGTAATCAAATTCTTCGAGAACATTAGCATCGACTATGCCCGAAGAGAGAAAACATGCACTTACACTGAAAGTGGCAATAATGACACGAATGACTTTCTCTTTCACGGCAGCCTGTGCTACTGTGATCAACAGAGGTATGATATCGTATTTCCTTCAAAGCTTTGAGAAAGTTTCATGATGACGCGACTCGAACCCTCACTTGTTAATCTGTTCAGCGACGTCTTGCTCGAATGAAAGCAACCAGATGCAGAATATCACTTGGTAGCTCATCTGAGGGCCAGGCTTATGGAGAAGGATCTCGACGAACCTGTTCGATCAGGTAAGGCACGAACTGATGACCAATGCTATAAGTGCTCACCCTGCTAATATTCTAGGGATGGCCCATACTGCCCTGCGACATTCTGGACGAGCGAGAAGAGACTCCAAGCACTGAACCGCGACGTCACGCTTATTTTGTAACTGGCTCTGCACGAGCGATGAAAGGACCTTGAGGAATGGCTGAAGGTGCTGGTGCTGAAGAGGAGTTGATTCCGAGCTGAGCAGACATGACGTCAATACTGGACTCAAGGAAGGCAGATCACGCGCACCTCAGCAGCACAGTCAGTATTTGGGCAGATTTGAGTTGTACAAAGTCATCTTGAGCTTCCAGGGTTCTGACATAGGGCTGTTGGTTTTACAATCAAGTAAGAGATGCCGAAGACGCGTACCTGATGAGAGGGGCGTAAGGGAGGTCGGGATCAGATTGAGCGGCTCTCGCGAAGAGCGGTATACGCTCATCATGATCTACAGACATAGGCGTCATGTATTCCGTTACAAAACATTTGTAATGAAACATACCCAGGAGTGCATCTGCGATTAAGACCAGGAGGCATTGCATGGTATCGATCCTTTGCAGCTTCTTAAGAAGCCGAAGGTATAATAGGGCATATGTTTGGCCGTCTGACAGATGGATAGACTCAACCTTTGCCCTGGGCTGTCTGTCCACCTTCTTAATGAGAGCCAGCTCCTCTGAGGTTACCAGTTCGGCACGTTGGTATCCCTGAGTCCGGGATGAGTGTCATGCACTAATGAAATCTGGTTGACGGACCTCCCATGGAACAGGCTTTGACCTTATCTTTGCGGAACTCTCGTCCAGATATGCATTCGAAACTAGGGAAAGGGACATTGTTGCCCGACACAAGCTTGTCCAGACTAGACCTCTTCGCGTCTACTTGACCACCTTTGGTCCATTTCACACGCACACGAGGGGTCGCGACCCCCCTTTATTCTCACTTCAATTGAATTCCGGGTCAGTTTCTGTTCTGTCCAGGTAATGTTCTCGAGAACAGTGTTATCGTCGTGCAAACGCGCACCCAAAGGTACGTGACATCCTTTTAATCCTTCTAAGACATTTTGCAATATTTTTGCAGCATCTCTCCTTCGCGGACTTGCGACCGAAGCTTCTGCAGCACCTGCAGCATCTGAGGTCGCGCAGGTAGATGCTGCACTGTCAAAGAAGACTGCACGGCCCAACCTACACACCGGAATTATCCTGAACCGATCTCCCATAATAACCCGAACACCAACGGCCTTCGAGAAAAGCCTACTACGCCTACCAAGCCCGCATCCACCGCGCGCTGCACAACCCATTTCCTTATGATTTTTACTTTAAACAGGGTTCACCTCTAGAATCGCGATTCAACATAGAAGAGCGAAGACGCGAACGCAAGGCGTTTGGTGCGCCTTTTGGTATGCAGACCGGGGAGACGAGCGAGGCTGAAAAGCTTGCTGAGGCTACTATGCGCGACGAAGAAGAGGCCATGCCGCGTATTCATGAAGCTGACATTAACTCGGACTTCAAAAACCTGCAAAGACGCGGTCAGCGAAACCTGTATCTATTACTACAAAAGCAAGAAAATGGAATGGCCGTATGGAGGTTCCCTCAGGGAAGTGTGGACAGGGGAGAGCTTTTGCATCTTGTCAGTAAATTGATCCCTTCCTGGATTACTTGTCCTTATGTTCTCCCAATCAGGCGGCGACCCGTGGACTTGAAGTCGAGTGTGGAAACAATATGGACACTTGGACAGTCAGTCGCAATCCAATAGGCGTCTTCCACCCTCCATCACCAGCCAGTACAGATGGTACTGAGAAGGTTTGTCCTGCTTCTGGTAATCTGCATTTCGTACTGACACGTCCACAGGATGTGGTCTTCTTCTATAAAGCACATATCATGGCTGGTCAAGTCCGCCCAAACCGAACGCATACACAGGACTTTGCCTGGTTAACCAAGGGTGAGATCAAGATCCGGGTGGATGCGGACTACTGGTTAGGCATCAAAGATATGCTGTCTGATTTCTAGCGTATATTCCCTATATTGTTCTACTTATCGATGTATCACCTGGTGCTCTACTGCACCTACTTGGGGGCAGAGATAGCCCGACGCATTTCTGGTCGCTTTTGTGCATCATCGAATCTGCGTACCACCACATCGCACTTCGTGCTCTTGCATATGTGCTTGGAGTTTGCCTTTACGGCATCTGAGAACAGATTGAGACCAGCAGCACGTTCTACAACGTCAACTAAGTGCAGCACATCAGTCATGCGCCCAATATTGAAAGGTTTGAACGCATACTTGGTATGACGAAACTCTCCAGAGGTGCATCGTCGGGAATAATGGCATTCGGGAGTACAAATGCGCCCGTAGAAATTTCTAGTGCGTCTGGCGCTGAAGGTGACACAGGTCTCGAGGTCAGCACAACTTTGGCAAAATGCGTCGGAACAGCAACGTTTGGCGGGGAACCAATAAGTTCATACGTCTGCAAAAAATACGTGAATCATGACGATAAATAACGTCCTTAGAGCCTAGACTCACAACGCGGAATTTACCATCTGCATCTTTTCTGGGGAGATACAGCGGAATAGTAAAGACGTAAACATCAGAGAAAGACCCCGTTAAGCGTCTACACCAGTCTTCCAAGTACGCCCAATCTATGAAGCAAAATTCAGCTTTGAGACGTCTCCTGTATCACCTACTTACAATGACGATTGAAGCCAACGCCGACTTGAGGCGCGATATTCGACAGTAAGAATGTCTCATTCATAGCCTCCTGAGAGAGCTTGGCGTCTGCAGCAGGGACCCTTCGGATTCGTCAAAATCCGCCTCCTCAGAAAAGTTCGACGTACGCACATATGTCCACGATCATACCCGCTTCGGAAATAATCTTGCAGCTTCGCGCGGAACATCGCCGGGAGAGACTCATCCTCCACAAATGTCGAGCTTGAACGGTCGGGTGACCCATCCCCAGAGGGACGTTGCTGACCGGATTTGCCAAGAGATGCGAGAGTAAGATGCTCTGCAGTCTATGAACGCAGTGTTAGTCGATAACCACTGAAGTAGAGAAAAATAACTCACCCATGCCGGGTGCCTGAGTCTCCGGTCATACGCAGCAGTGTACGCTTTACGAACCAAGAGGTCCGGTACAGGACCTATTCAGAACCCAAGTTCAAGCGAGAGAAACAAATTCATCATCATGCAGCACGCAAATCACCTGGGTGACCGTATTTTAAGACCGGGGACGACAGTGCAGACACTGCAACAGCATTCGAGAGTTTCGCGCCGCCACCCTGGCCCATTTCGATTATTGGAGGAGCGACGGACGTGTTGGCTGAGGTGGTTATAGGGATTTGCCTCTTGCTGGAGGCTACAGCGCTGACCACACCCCCTCCTACTACTGCACCGACCGCGAAGCACGCGGCGTGGATGATAGCTGCGCTCGGCATTTGTGAACAGACCAGAACACCGGTTGAGTCTGTGGAGTTGATGTGGACGTGAAGAAGTTATGAACGCGTCTCAATCCCACTCGGATCACGGTGGTACTCCTCCAAATTTGTTTGGCAAAAAGTCTTGAAAATAAAAAACCGGCGCGAAGTACCGTTCCGATGAAAGCAAGACCTATGGTGCATCAAGCAGCATATATTTACAAATTCAATCAGGCCTATGATATGTATAAAATGGTTGAAACAAGATAATCCAGAGGGGAAAGCAGAGGTGTAAAGAGAGCGATCCGGACAACGAAAGTACAAGGAAATTACGAGTAGGGAAAGTCGACTTTTGAGAGATGGAGGATACGTATAATTGCTTTGATAGTGCGGTATACAAAAAAATCTTCAGAACCAGGAAACCAGCGAGAAGAACCAGCAAGCAATCAAGCTACGCGGGAAGAATAATTAATACGAGCACCGTCTAACCCTGGATGAGGCAGACTCAAAAGTATTATTGAGAAAAACCTGTGGGTGTCTGTGGTGAGATCTATATCTCCAGCGGCTCGTGAGATCTAGCTTCTAGTCCGTTGCCACGAGTTTGGTCACTGTTTGTTCCACGACGCAGACCAAAGCCGCCCGCGCCAGGGCCTCGTGGTTGTCTGACAACACTACTACTCTCATTAAAGCTACCGCCATTCATATTCATTCCAGTGACGCTGGATGGCAGGCTGGGAACGGGCGGGATGGCAGAACTGCCAAAGTTGCTGCCAAAGAGCGAACCGAAAACACCTGGAGAGCGACGAGAAGGGGAAGCAATCGTTGCATAACCTTCCCTAATATTGCCGTTCGACGCACGAGTAGCTAAGCGGGGTGCTTGGGTGTGCAAGGTTTTCATATCGGGCATCGACTTCTTCATACGTAAAGAACTTGCAAGCTGCGACTGTGAGGAAGTTGCAGAAAGATATGCAGATGGGGCACGCGACAGGGTCGCAGCCTGAACCCGTTGAGTCTGTTGATTCAATAGTCAGGGAGTGACTAAAGGCTTGGCATGTAGGGAAATACCTACCCTGTTAGGATCGATGCGAGTTACGACGGCGTACCTTTCATCGCCTTCTCCAACCGAATAATGGTACACGCCCAACTTCTGGGCAATCAGGTGAACGACCCTCCTTTGTTTAGGTGAGAGTGTCCTCGAAAAAGCAAGTTCGTCTCTCATTCTATCGTCCTTGAAAAGTAAGATGCGAGAATAGATTTCCAATGTAGAAGGATCGTTGAGATCCAGTTCATTAGAGGACGAAGACTTCTCCGATGGATTTGGTGTCGCGGGAGCAATTGGAGGGGATGAGGCGGGGTTAAATGGCTGAGAGATTGGAAGGTGAGGCATAGGGGGAGGTGAGTACTGTTGTTGTTGATAGGCACCAGAAGAGAAGGACCGCTGCGGTGTGAAAGCGGGGGCCGTGACGGGACCAAAATCATCGTATGCTTGGTGAACTGCCTGTTGTTGCTCCTTTTCGAGTTGCATAGAGCGCATTCGCCTAATAGCCTTTTCTCTTTCGATACGCTCTTTCTCTCCAGCTTGAAGAACTTTCTTGTACTCGACACGAAGCTTACGGCCTTGAACATCGAATCCGTTTAAAGCAGCCACGACTGCGTCAGCGTCTGCCGCTTGTCGGAAATTAGCAAAAGCGAGACCACGGAAAGAGCCTTGTTGATCCAGGTGGTAGTTGAACGCGTAGGGAGTAGGAATGGACAAAGAAGCCTAAAATAGAGACATTAGTCGTATCACATGGTGAAAATAATGAACTCACGATAATATCTAGGAGGGTCTCGCGCTTGACGTTGAAAGGAATGTTCTTGACGACGATGGCGGTTGGTATAACCTCATCGTCAGCATTTTGGTTAGGCGTCGAGGGAGAAAGAGCAGATGCTTGTAGATGACCCAAAGGGGGAGAACTACCAGAGGAAGAGAAATCCGAGTTGTTGTGAGGAGATAGAGGGCGATTATCAGGTATGACCATTGAGTTATCAAGCCATTGCTAAGAAATGATTTTAATATTAAGATGTTTTGAGAAGAAAATGACTTACGGTGGGAAGACCAGCACGGGTAGGCTTCATCTTGAGAGGAGATGGAGTCATACCACCTAGAGGATTAAACTGGCCTGAAAGCTGCTGGTTTGCGCTGAACTGATACTGTTGCCTATTGTCATAATCGTAATTGTCATGGAGGCGTTGAGATTGAGGATTGAGAGATAGAGAGCCGATGTCAGGCGTTGGAGAGCTTGTCATGATGGTCAAAAGAAAAGAATAAGATTGACCGTAGATTCCAGGCTAGTCTTCAGCTTAATAAACCAGTCGTGACGGCAGTTCGAGATAGAGAAAAAAAACAAGGCGAACAGACAAAAAGCGTATAAGAAACTCAAGGATGATGAACGCCGAAAATAAGGCTCGTGGCCAAACCAGAACACACCCGTGACACGCCACCCTGATTTCCATGTCACTATATACCACACGTTCTTAAGCTCTAGTTCATTCAAAATACTTTCAAAACCACACAGCAATCAAGGCTATACTATGGACACACGAACTTCACGGACTGGCAACGTTACAGTCAATCCCTGGATCGAACAAGCATCAGAAGCAAAAGAATGACGAACCGGCATGGTCGTAACACGTGCATGCTTCTCTCGCTTCTCTATCGATTATTAGTCGTCAAATTTTAACACCAAGAACATCGACATCAATGAATTTCCGTTGAAAGGTCGGAGCCGTGCTTAAGGGCATCAAATGAAACTGGTATACTTCAACAAAAACACTGTGCGTGATGGTGGCTGATCATTCAGCACCTGATCCGACCGAACCAATCATCAGAAGCTGAGCCAATCCCAAATGATCATCAGGACGAACACTGTCGGAATCATCCAGGATATGACATTCGAGGGAACACCGGCGGCTCCTATTATAGTCCAGTTGTGCTCAGTGACAGACTCGGCCTTTTTAAGTTTTTGCCCGTAGGTAAACTGATTATGCTTTCCCAGGACGCCACTGGTCAGCGTATCCGGGAGAATAGTCAGCCTGGGGAATGCCAGCAAAGAATCACCCACACATGGGCGAGACATACCATTAATATTACGAGGTAAGACCACTTTAGACGCTCGTGGCAACCGCAGCGAGGGCGGCTGATGCGTCGCATGGCATCTCGAGGGCAAGGGGCACGCCGGAACACGAACGCAGGCCGACGGTCAACCCGATGGGAGAGTCAGAGATACATGAGGACACGAAATACCATTTTAAGGGAGCGCAGATCTCCTGCGTTAGAATCCACAGCCTCATCGTCACGGTGAGGACTGAATATGAAACTATGTAGATCAACTGAGGTTCGAACTGATCTGCGCCAAGATGTATACAAAATATGCATCGAGCATCTTTGCATTTACACACATACCTCTTATAAAATACTTTGAGTACCAGTCTCGTAAAAAGACAATAAAATACCACTCAGCCCAGCTGAGGAACCAAGTTCCAACCTAGATGATACAGCTTTTCCACATGAACAACCTCAAGCTATAGACATAATGCTGCAGGCTTTGGCAACGCGATTAGACTATCAATGTCCACTTGCACGCTAATGCTGCTTGAATGATTCCAAGGACCACGAATGCGGTGCCCCGATGTCGGTGACGATGATGTTGGAGTAGACGATGATGATCTGTAGGTATTTGCTATCTCTAAATCCAGCGGTGACAAGTCAGGGAATGTGACCCGCATTGAATCTGCGCGGCGTATGCGAGATTGGGGCATAGGCCCATGAGGGAGGATAGCCTCTGGTCGGAAAGCGGGGCAAGGAAAGGAAGGGAGTGTGTGTTTTGGAGTAGCGCGTGGTGGGAGAGGTCCTTGTACGAGACGGAGAGCAGAAGGAGGTGCACGACGAGGGCCTCGAGGCATGGTTACAAGTGAAATGAAGTTCTACTACAGTCAGTCGATTTAATCGTCAAAACTTAAGTGAGAAGACTAGTAAGCACTAACCAAGTGAACGTCTTTTATGATACTGATAAAAACAAGCCACAAAACACAAACGCAAAGATAGAGGACAAAGAGCGACACGTAGTTTCGACAAGACCAGCAAAATCGAAATATCCACAGGAAGAATGGAATGTGGCTTAAAGTTGAACAATGGCTGTGTATGTGAGCTGGCACTCCGCACTGAAATGTGAAAGCTCCGCGCTCAGCGCCTATCTCCATTGGATCATAATAGCAAAGATAACAAAAATGGGATATATATGTACTATCGAACAAGGACAACACATCGCCATCTACAAATGTGCGAGTTCGAAAACACTACGATCGACGTATGGAATAACAAAAGAGCCAGCAACCCTGACGATACAACGGCGTTATGTACAGGTCTCAATCGGACGGTAGTGTTTCAGCAGTTGAGCTTTAAAGGCTATAAAAGGAATAATAAGAAACTGCATGCCCGTATGTCAAAATTTACTGACCGTCAGGCTGATTCCATAACCCTGCAGCGTCACCATTAAGCGGAGAAGCATTGTTGGGTTCTGTAAATGGTAAGCGAAAAAAAACATGCACGGCCAGTATTACAACTAACCTCCTAGCAGTGATTGCAACGATAATAATACAGTTTGCACGCTATATACAGCGGACCATTTGTCCTGGAAAAGTTATGGATGCCATGTATCATTAGTAGGAAAATGTGGCGAACCTGCAAGATATCAAGACAGATCGCGCCTCCTGCAATGTCAACGTTGGGGTGATAACAGGGTGTGTCAAACTTGATCGTGGGTGGTGAGTATGGATAATTGCTGGGGAATGCGATAGAGATTCGGAATGATAGTCCGGCATAAATCTAACACAAATATTTAGTACTGAATGTTAATGGTTCCATACGCGCGCCACGTACAGTCCCCGCCGGGCCTTCTATTGTGCCCACCCATTCAAACAGGTTTGCATCACTTTTAGGAAAGGCAGACTAAGCGGTACATGAGACATAAGCCCGAGGAGCACCCGAGAATCACTCACGATACCAGGAGATGATGACATCTAGCAAGAGCTGTGAGTTTAATGAAAGGCATAACTAGTCCAAATACTCACCATCAAGGTCATGAGTTCGTTACTTAAGCTGCAGAATGATAATGAGCATATATGTTAACCTGAGATGTGGCAGCATACTCACCGTTTTGTCACACTACCAGGACCGTCAGGTGCTGAGCCAGAGACGGCAGTTTTGTGAGAGGTTCTGGAGGGAGCAAGGGCGGAAGTGATCTGATCCATAATGTCCAAACTCGCAGATGGTCAAGAGAGAATATTTGCAAAATAAGAGCCACAACTTGTCTGTTCAAGTAGGTTCGAGTACAGTGGACGCGCTCAGTCACGTGCAGTCATTATTGAAATTTACACAGGCTCACAGGAAACAATAACAAATAAATAAAGACCTATTCTGAGTTTGAATTTAAATGGATAGATCCGTCGGCAAGAACGGCTGCCCAAAGCTTCTCCCTGCTCACCGTAAGCGAGTGCGTAGTCCTGTAACTTATACTTCCAACGTCGTCAACGGCCCACGCGATGTCGAGCAATTTCGTGCCGACGCCCGCAGAGCTCGCACTCGTGAATCAGATATTTGCTCAGGCAGATACTCAGAAAATCGGAATCCTCACCGGTGACGTCGCCGTAAAGGTCTTCCAGGGTGCTAAACTAACACCGACCGTCTTGGGCGAGATTTGGAATATTGCTGACGATGATAACAATGGCTTTTTGACCAAGAAGGGTGTCTCAATTGCAGTCCGTCTCATGGGCCACGCTCAAAAAGGCCAGAAGGTCGACAAGTCTCTTGTGAACAAACGTGAGTTTCACTGCTCTTTCACTATGACACATTACTGATATTGGGCCCTTAGCTGGACCCTTAGCCAATATTGAAGGCGTTCAGACGCCTTTAATTCCACAAGGCACTGGTGCATCAATACCGAAGTCACCACCTCCCAGTTTGCCTACATTGACTCCCCAAGACAAGGCCAAATTTACACGGATATTCCAGGGATGTGGGCCCATCAATGGTCTCCTCAGTGGTATGTCAGCTCATTTGCACGTAGTAGGGGTTAATCGTCTTCCTTCATTCAAGGCGAAAAGGCACGTAACGTATTCGTCAAATCCAAACTCTCTGTGGATAAACTATCTCAAATATGGTGCGTGAAGTATCTCTGAATTTGACAAGTCTCATACTGTCACAGGACTTTATGCGACACACAAGACCGAGGCGCACTCGACATAACTGACTTTACCATAGCCATGTACTTAATCCAAGCCTCCATGGCCGGTCAACTCTTATCTATCCCAACTTCTATTTCGCCGAGCTTATACGAGCAGGCTGGAGGAGTTTCTGCTCACGCGACCGGTGGTAGTGCAAACTTCAGCAGAGGTTTTCCACCAGTACCGAGGCATAATGCTGTGCAGCCGCAGCTGACGGGACAGGCGTCTCCGGCTCCTCCCCTTCCGAACAGACGCCTCGCACCTAGCAAGCTTGCACCAACCATACCTCCCTTCCCTGGGGTTACACAATGGGATGTCACCGCGGCTGAGAAGGCCGCTGCAGACCGCTTATTTGATACGTTGGACTCGCAGCATAGAGGATACATTGAAGGTGATGTTGCAGTACCATTCATGCTCGAATCCAAGTTACCGGAAGATGTCTTGGCCCAAGTCTGGTCTGTAATCATGTCTTCAGCCATTATTGTTTCTCACTTTTGGTTTGCAGGGATCTTGCGGATATCAATAATGACGGCCGTCTGACCCGTGACGGATTCGCAGTTGCGATGCACCTCATTCAGGGCAACCTCTCAGGCAAGGATGTCCCTAGTACGTTACCTCCGACCCTTGTACCTCCGTCAATGCGAGGCGGCCAAGTGCCGTTTGGTGCTGCACCGATACCTCCCAAACTGGAACCCGTGCGGGATCTCCTTTGGGACGATTCACCTCCGCCGTCGGCGACCACCTCGCATCCTTCAACAAGCGTCTTGCAACCTCAGACCACGGGTACCCCACTCTCTCCGCGGTCTTTGCCTCGTCCCACACCGCCCTCACAGGATCCCTTTGGCTCCTCTCCAGCTACATCTTGTGCGTTGCTTGGTGCCATCTTCTGAGAAGATACTGATACTCTGAACAACAGCGTCAAACAGGAATTTCCTTGATGACGACGATACACATGTGCCGCCCATTCTACACGACCAGTCTGCAGAAATTGGGAACGTGCAGAATCAACTTAATTCCACGCAGAGATCTCTGCAGACTACAAAGGCTGAGCGAGAGGCGCTCGAGAGTACGCTTGCCAATCAGGCTGCGCAGCTTTCAGCTCTTCAGACTCAGCTTGCTTCTGCCAAAGCATCTTATGAGACGGAGACTTCCCTTCTGAACACGCTCCGTGATCGCCATGCAGCTCAGATCGCTGACATCCAAAGAGTTAGGGAAGAACTCATCAGGGACGAGAGCGACCTCAGTGCTGTCCGATTGGAGAAAGCAGAAGTCGAAGGGTCTTTCTTGCGCGACAAGGAAGAGGTCCGAGAATTGAACAGGCGGATGGCGGAGGTTACGACGCAAATTGCTGTTGCGAAGCAGGACGTCGAGAAGGCGAAGAAAGATGCGAAACAACAGAAGGGTCTTCTTGCTATTGCCAAAAAGCAACTGATAGCCAAGGAGTCGGAAAAGATCAAGGTGGACAAGGAACTAGAGGAAGCACAGCAAGATCTCACTGATTCGATTACGGAGAGAGAAGAAGCCGAGGCCGAGGTCGAGAAGATTGTGATTACGCCTTCGCAGACAACGTTGGAGCGTTCCAAGTCACCGGACTCGGTTGCTTTCGCGGCTGCTCATCCTTTACCAATGACCCCTGATATCACGGGCACCACGAGCCCAATCAGTGTGAAGAGTAACAACCCATTCGAGAGGTTGGCGTTGTCCTCGGGGGCATCGACTCCGCGATCTCAGTCACCATTCCTGTCTTTCCCTAATACTTCTTACCCTACTCCCCCTGGCCTGTCATCACCACCCGGTCTCTATCCCCCAGCTACCTCGGCTACAATGCAATCGGACATATTTTCGCAGGCACTCGACACAGAACCCGTGCTACAGACCGACAACGCGCCTGATACAGATGGTTCTGAATTTGTCGTTGTGACCCCTCGTGTGAAGGATGGTCCCTATTTTTCTGATGGTGTCGTATCGTCACCCACGAGCGATGAGCATTTCACCACCCCTCCAACTAGTGTCACACCAGTCAATCCCAACTCCAGTGCAAATGTTTCATCTCTCGATAGTGTTGCGGCACACTTCCCCGCTATTGATGATTTCAACACTCAGCACCTCGCACCGGAGGAGGGGGAGAAAGAAACAGACCTGTCGACGGACCTTCAGGAGTTGGAGGTGAACGACACTGAGAGTGAAAGCGAGGACAGCCACGAGTCGGAAGCTGTCGACCACATGACAGACTCTGCCAAGGAAGTTTCTCCCTCAGAAGCGGCATCCTCACAGGCGCCGACCTCTTTTGATGACATCTTTGGAGTTAACACTGATGTACCCGAGCAAGCCCCTCCTTCCAGCAGTGCGCCTCAGTCGGACCCAGCCGCCCCCTCGCAGAATGGCACATCTTTGGTAGATGCTTTTGGTGCTCCTTTCTCAGAGCTTGAAACCACTCCGTCGCAACTCTCTCAACCATCTGGGACAAGCGGTTTGAATAGTTTTGATGAGGCTCTCGGCAAGATCTCAAATGGCGGTTCCGCGCAGCCGGCTTCTGCCTTCTCCTTCGATTCCAACTTTGAGGATAACTTTGACTTTGGGACAGCGATGGCATCATCTTCTACGTTCCCACCACCCCCCACCGGATCTGCCCCTGCCAATGGCATGCCCGCAACGACCACAAACATGGTTACGCATACGAATGGGGCACCTGATTTCTTTACCCAGCCTGCGAGTATTGGGATATCAGCCACTCCGAAAGTGGCTGTGGCACAGCCGGTAGCCCCGGTCTCATTTGATGAAGTATTCTCATCGGGCCCCTGGAATGCCTCAAGCACCGCACCTCAGCCTGAGAAGGCAAAATCAAAACAAGCGGACACGGGCATAAGCTTCCAAGATGCGTTCGGAGGCGTCGATGTCTCTCAAGCCCTGGCGCTAGATAACTCATTCTCTTCTAGAACTTCAAAAGCATTCACATCCTCTACGTCGCCACCTTTGTCCGAGGGTGGTAAACCCTTCCCAAATGTCTCCCCTCCTGCATCACCACGAGGGCCATCTTCTCCCCGTGTTACGCCGATACGGTCTACTTCCCCTCCGCGACGTGCCACATCGCCACCGCCTCGAGCTGTTTCTCCGAAGTTGCAGCGGCCGTCAAGCTCTTCAACCAAGGAACCTACTCACGATAAGCCTCCGCCACCCCCGCGGCACTCTAAGCTTAGTGTATGTACTATCTTTACTTCGCATATTATATTACTCATAATTGGTGCCTCATAGATTCGCCTTCCGTTTGGCAAGAGAAAGAAGCAGGATTCAGTACCGCCTATTCCTCCATCGAATCTGTCTCAGAATGTGACTGTTATGGAGCCTGGTGTTGAAGACGACGTGGAGCCTGTGAAGCAGCTGTCTGCAATGGGCTTCAGTCGGGATCAAGCTGTTGCGGCACTCGAAGCACACGATTATGACGTACAAAGAGCATTGAATAGCCTACTGGGAGCGCAATAGGGGGAGGGTGGCGACACGATGAACGTGATATCTTATCGTTTGATCTTCAACATTTCATGTGTCCTCTTATTATCAGATAACAGAACGTACTTCCGGAACGCACATGCACACTCCTTACTACTCATTCCATTTTCTTTTTAATCTCGTCGTCATTCCCGAAATATCTGACTCATAAGGAGCAGGTCAAGAGGCCAGACCCAACGGAACAATGACATTCCTTTATGCCGCTTTCTTAGGCTTTCTCTCTATCTGACGGGTCAGCCGAGGCCTTGTCATTGTCATGATCATCGCCAGGCCTCGAGTGATTAATTCGACCCTGCAGAAGAGTCTTGTATTCCCACCCGGATTCAGTCGACCCCGATGTGCTCATTAATGCCCTATTGTTCTGCATGAGGTACTGTGACAAGGCATGATACTGCGGAGAACTGCCTCTTGAGATCTATAGGTCACTGATAGGGGGGCAGTTCTCAGATTTTTCTTATGTAGTAGTCTTAAGGTTGGCGTTGTTGCAACTTTGTTGATTAGCCGAACCTTGGTGCCTTAAAATACACGCACTAGTGCTTCCGCGAGCGGGGAAACTGAAGGGAAACTGCAAAAGCAAGTTCAAGTTGACTGTCAAAATTTTTAGCGGGCCTATATAACCATCTTGCGTTGTAACCACTTTGCGGAAAGAACTTAACGAATCTCTGCCCTCCCATGGCCGCATTCGATATGATTGTGGTGGGCTCCGGTGGCGGACCCGATGAAACTAACCTATCAGGGTGAGTCCCTTCTTTCCGCTTTCCATCTTGATTCAGACATACTACGATACAGATATTTGCTCAAGCCTTGCGAGGCTGCTTGGAATGATGGTATTATCGCATTGGAGGCGGGTGCGCTATTTCATAACTGTGTCTCGCGACCACAGCTGACGCTATCACTCAGGGTCGGGTCTTGGCGCGCTCAGACATATCATGAAGCGCGATCCAAACATTTTCGGAGAACGTCCAACTGACGCGAATCCAACATCATTTACTCCTCTCACGGTGTATTCAAATGTCAAGTCAGTGACGTCCTCCCGCAGTACTGCCTCACGGCCCGTAATTTAACTCGATTCTGCAGGTGTTTCCTCCTTACACACGCACACCTTGACCATATAAGCAGTCTTATAATGGCCGCGGGCACACTCGGCGGTGCCAGAAAGCGTATATATGGTTCAACCCAGACTCTCAGAGATCTAGAGACAGTCTTTTCTGGAAGAGTATGGCCCAAATTAGCCACATATGATGAGAATAACCCGTTATTGCAATTGGTGTATCACGCGTGAGTCTCATCCCACGAGTCAATCTAGCCATCTCCCTCAAATCCTGCCATCCCGCTTGGCAGCCTCCATGCAGATGGCAAATACAAGGCCATCTTCCCAGATATCTCCGTTCGTTTCATGACCGTCAACCACGGAATGAACGACTCTGGTCAGTATGACGGTGCTTGCTTTTTCATTCGACACGACCCCACAAATCATGAGTTCATCTTTTTCGGTGATGTGGAACCCGACAGCATTTCCGTCAAGCCCAAGAACATCGCTGTCTGGCGTGCAGCAGCACCAAAGATACCACATGACATATCTACCATCTTCATTGAGTGTTCATACCAAATAGGGCGGCCGGAGGCGGAACTTTGGGGTCATCTCAGTCCCGTACATTTGGTACAGGAGTTGGTCACGCTGGCAACAGAGGTTGTCATCGCCCAGAAAGCACGTAAATCCCGCTCAGGATCACGGCCGCGAAAGAAGCAACGGAAGAACTCCATGTCACCTGATGCCCTTCACGGTGCACTCCAAGGTGTCAAAGTTTACATCATACACTGCAAAGAGCAATTCCTCACAGAACGACCGATCAGCCATGTTATTGGTGACCAATGTCGTGAGCTGCTTGCGCCCCATCAACTAGGGGTCGAACTACTCACTGCAGACCAGGGTATGAGGATTGGTGGGTCCAATCGTCCTATCGGCTTTGGCGGATATACGTGGAACTAATTTGTGCTTCTTCAAGTGATCTGAACTTTATCCTCAACAAACTTTTCTTATTGGTTCAGTTATTCGTTTGGCTATTTATACTTGGAGCAATCCACCTCGATACCACTCCCCACCGTGTGTGTATATTTAACCCCTGTAGCCTTAATTCCTATTCGCAGTTGTCGTTCTTACCACCAGTTTGTCTTATCACTCATCGAAGCCATCCTCCAATTCATGTTCGGACTTTTTGACGCGCCACGTACCTTCGAGCCTCTTTCCCATATACTACTCGAACTACGTACCGTCTTTAGACTCACTCACGTACTTGCATGATTGCACAAAATACAAGATCACGACGATAACATAGAAATCACCTGCAAACAGCAAAAAAGGAATATACAGGAAAAAATGTTAAGAACAAAGAAGAAGAAAAGAGCCAACGAGTATTGGACATGAAGACCGTCCTTAGTGCATACGTACAAAGGTATCTATAACGCGTAACATCATAAGGTCAATCATATTCGGTCGTTTCATGGGTAGGCTATGACGATGCGTAGAGCTTCACGACGCCGTCTGCGCCTGCGCTTGCCATGAAGGGTAACGTGGGGTGGAATTCGACATCGAGAACGCCCTCTTTGGCCTTTTCGCGATGTGTCGTGATCTCTTGTGTGCAGGTCCGCGAACCAAGGAGATCCCAGAAGCGGATGGAGCAGTCGTGCGAGCCAGACACAAGCGAGAATCCGGCTGCATCGATCGACAACGACGTTACCCCGTCGAGATGAGCAGGCATGGTGTGCGTGCAATGTCCTTCATACGCGGTCAGCGAATGCAAAGGAACCCGGCTGGTAAACAGAACGTACCTGACAATATGTCGAATATGCGGATAAACTTGTCCTCATGGGCAGTGACGAGGAACGATATCGTTGGGTGGGAAACAATGCGGTTCACCTGAGTTGCAGGCGTGCCATCTTGATGAAAAGCATGATCAGGGACATTAGATCGTCAATAGAAGCAAGATACACACCATATGTGGCATCAGTCGCCAATCTCGACACCTCTCTTCCTGTCTCGATATCGAACACTTTTACCACCGCGTTCTGGAATGCCACTGCCACCTTTTTCAAGTCAGACTTGATCGCCTCGACCGCAGTTGCTCCTGGGTCTTTTTCCTTTTCTTCCTCCTCGCTCCCTTCGTGGTCCAGGCCATAGTAGCCCCATGACAATTTCAAAATCACACGGCCGTCTGCAGCTCCGCTTACATCCCATACCTTTATCGAACCCTCAGCACCACAGCTCACCAATGCATTCTCGTCCCGTACAAGGGCAAGGTCCCAGACGGCATCAGTGTGCCCCACCAGCTCTCCACGCGCAGAGGTATCATCGTACGGCGCGTATGTTGTGTGCGACGGGGAGGGCAGCGCCCAGATACGGATGCTTGAGTCAAGCGATGCGCTGTAGATGAGGTGCTTAGTAGGCGAATGCACGAGACGTGTTATTGCGGCAGAGTGGCCACGCAGGGTAAGTTGGGGCTCGAAATCAGTCGTGGGACGAGCACTAGAAGAGCGTTAGTCTCATCATGCCTGCTAGAGAAACGAGGAGACGAACGCAGAAGATGCTAAATTCGCGACATCCATGCGCCAGATTTTTACTGTGCAATCATCTCCACCGGTTGCAAGACATAGTTCCGTGGGATGGAATGCCAGTGCACGCACTGCATCCAGATGACTGGAAGCTAGAATCAGCACCAAAAACTTGAACTTCGAGTGACTGAGGTACTCACTTTCTCAATGTTCGCTTAGCCTTCCATATCTTTGCACCGTCGCCTTCAGCCCTCCTCAACCCCAACACCTACGCTCTCTACCTCATCTTCGTCTTCTCCAACTTCTTCACCCTCGCCTTCGCCTTCCTCGTCATCGCGCCACCGCTGTATCTTCATATGCTGTTCGTACGATGACCGCAACTTCTCTCGCCACTCGCCCTGATCATCGGGACGGAAGATCGCCGTTAGATGGCGCGATGGCTCTGCCTCGGCGGCCGGTGCTCCCTCTTTCTCTGGAGGCGGTTGTGGTGCTGTCTGCGGGGGCGCCTGCTGTGGTGGAGGCTGCTGAGGCTGGGATAACTGAGATGGCTGTGGCCTTTCTTGACTTTGCACCTGCTGTTGCTGTTGCTGTTGCTGTTGTTGCTGTGTTGGAACATGCCCGCACCAACATTGTTCAGTGGACTTCCTCGTTCCAATGGTCCTGTCGACGCTGGGCCTGACATCAAACTCACACCACCACTTAACATCGGGAAGTCCTTATTTCCCGGTCCAGAAACAACTGTGACCCCTGGCCCAGATTCCGGCAAAGCCTTACGAGGCCGGCCATTGTAGATCGCCTCGAAGGGCTGGCTGGGTGCTGTGGGGTTCACAAGTCCTGATGAGATGAGCGGACGGTTCGGGAGTGGGTTCATTGCTTGCGGAGAGGTGAGGTATGAGATTTCCTGGAGACATCTGAAGAAGATTGTGATCTTGTATGAAGTGAGCTCGAAAGGTGACAAGAAAACGTACTGCTTGAGGTAGTCTCTGCTCCGTGCGCGGCTCTTTGGGTCGCGTCCTGGTGGCGGCTTACCGACAGAACCAACGGACGGCAAGCCTACGCTCCAGTTCGTACTTGTACCGGCCCATGAGGGTTGTCGTGCTGGGGGTGCAGAGGTCCCGTTCGGAACGCGTTCGGAGGGCAGAGGAGAATCTATGGTAGGTATACCGATGTCAAATACGCCACAAAAATAAACAGCACCCAAAGAATCCGAGAAAAAAACGCACCGTCACTACGCGGCGAGCTGCCACTGCTCCCATCCTTATGGCTCTGAACATCATCTTTTGAGCCTTGCTGCTGAAGTGGGGCTGATTTTGACGGTTGAGCGGTGCCAGTTGGCGCAGTTAGCTGCTTTGAGCTATTGTACAGTATTATGAAGAACACATGGCATGAGAGCATTCGCGAGATCAACAAAAAGAGGGAGGCGGCACGCGTGAGCAGGTAGGCGTGTGCATAAGGCGAACACGAACCGTTCCATACGGAGAGCATACTCCAGCATTTTTATGCGACGCATCAGGTCGAGTTTGACGTTTTCGAACGAGCGTCGCTCGCCCTCGAGGAGAGCTATGCGAGCCTATTGTGAACCATTGTGAGAATGGATACGCGACACGTCCCAAACACAAGAAATTGGGCAACGAATGAAGGTATGCAGACTGAACGATTTTTATGATACGAAAAGCCGAAAGTAAAAAGTGACTCGCGGTGGACATAGGAATGTGGAGTGAGGACACTCACCCTCATTTCAGCTCTCTCAATCTCCCATTCGTTTCTATCACGCTCATAACGACGCCATTCTGTCTGCAAAAAGTGCAAGACACTGGAGAGGTTAAAATCTTGACCATTCTGCGGGGGTGGTGGGGGGATACCCTGGGACTGCCCTGGCTGGCCCTGAGGTTGCTGCTGGCCAAGTTGACCCTGTTGCTGTTGGCCTCCTTGATTTTGCTGTGGCTGAGGCACCTGCAAGGTGCCAAGCATAGGGATCTGGATTGTCTGTGGATGGTGAATGTTGGGCGTCGAAGAGATTGACTGTGTACTCTGGTTGTTCTGGTGGTATAATGCAGTTAAAGCGTCGCGCTGCTGTGAGCTGTTGCTGCTGTTATTTTGCGATAGAAGACCGTTAGGAGGAGGAGATTTTGAAGTGGCAAGGTTACTGATCCGTGAGCTTGTGAGCATAGCGGTGGTGGGTTCCTATAATTCTGCTTTCCAGTGTTTGCGATCAACAAACAACCACCTCAGTGTCACGGTGAAGGCGGTAAAGACAATTCAACGTCAACGTCAACGACCACGACGGTAACAGCGACGACCACGACAATGGAAGTACGGAGAAAGGCGAGTCCACGAAGCACCTCTTTTCAATTTCACTCATTCACAAAGCGCTTTAGCACTATTAATGCCGTCGTATATATTTCATGCATAAACTGATTCAAACATCCGACCTCCGGGCTCTGGCCTGTGCTGATATTGTTCTCCGACTCAATTCATGGGCGCTAGCGTTTCACGCAGCCCGTCATGGCGCATAACGCGATAGGCCACGGTTAACCTCGATGACTGAGAGAGCTGAGCTCTTGGCGCCTGAGAATGGGACACGTTGCAGTTAAATGCAATATGTCACTTTTACTCATCCAGCCTGTAGGGAAGGCCCAGCCCAAAGGTTACCTCGAGGCGATGTCATAATCTAAGGATCTGATTCTGAAGAGTCTTCTGCTCCCCTCCTTGCCGGTTGCAACTCAATACAAGAACATGTGTTTCATAGCAGCAGATAGTGGGCTTTACAAGCCATCCAGTATAGGCTAAGACTGAATGGAAAGATCGTTGATGACCATGGAGACTGATGATACAAGAGTGCAACAGAGTAATCATCCTTCTATTTCTTTCCCGATCTAAAGAAAAAGACCATTAATGAGATAAACCAAGATGAGATTTTAATCTACGCACTTCTTGATTCCGCCACCAACCAGAGGACCACCTGTCAGAATCATGAGTCTATCCTGCATATGAGATCCTTTGCATACTCACCCTTGAGAGCTACAGATTGCACTTAGACGCAATTATTGCAATTTGGCGAGTTAAAACGTACCTTTTTCCCTTAAAGCCTTCGCAGCAGCCTCTTCGGCCTTCTTCTTCTCCTTGAAGGCCTTGTCATCTTCATCCTCCTCCTTGTGATCCTTCTTTGGTGCCTAGCGATTTCAAAGAAGGCTTTAGCACGGTCTTTGAGGCGGTTAGATAACCAACCTTTAGAGGCTTCAGCTTTCCACCTTGTCTCGACATCGTTGAATCTGAGAGACTGCAGAAGGCACAGCTGATGATCCGACCTGATTTGGCAGCACTTTGCCGATTCGCCCCGGCATGCCCATCTCAAATATTTCAACCTCGTATTGCTCTAACAGCAAGTACTGTGCATTTCATGTTAAATGTCTCTGCTCAGAACTTGATCAAGGTCGCCTGAGGGTGATTAATTATATTGTGAACCTCCACTCAAATTTGTCCCCGTGGCTGTTTCGGTGGTCCCGCACCGGTCGCAGCTGCAAGAAGTACCAAGTACAGAACTGTTTTGGATGAATGCATGCAGGTCACAACGAAAACGCTCAACTTGAACAATAGGTTAATAACATTTCACGAATTCTCCGGGTCAGTTCCAGGTCCGTCCTATGGCATAGGTCCAGGTACATTACATAATGATAAACACCTTCCATTTACGTGTACAATGGCGTTTTCTAGACAACGTCGAACAAAAGGACTCTGCCATATGCCACGAGTGCTATGATTGCAATATATGACCTTGGTGCCAGCTCCACTAACCCATCTTCAACTTGAACCCACTCGACTGCGTCGAGCCTTTTGTCGCGAGCGACCTTTCAATTATCTCTCTTTCTTCGTCACTCACTTTCAGCTCGAGCAAGGCACTCGACACTGTTTTAATATCACTCATTTCACGCAGGGCTTCAAGTTATCTAAACATGTTGTTTGTTAACGTCATTTCGACTATCATACTGGCAGGCTCAGTCGTGGCAATCCCCTTTCGTGTGCCACCCCCTCAAAGTAAGCGGGATGTCAATCCTGCGCTGGTCCCATCCTTTGGTTGGCAATCTGGTATTAATCCAGATGGCGAGTACAAAAATAGCATTGCGCTTTGACACCGTTCACTAACATGTTTCTAAAGGCACTGGAAACTGTGACGGTGCTGTGAATGGCACTAATGGGAAACCTATCCTAGTACCTTGCCAATGCCCGCCAAACTCAACGTTCTTCCTTACCGTGAGCCCTCGTACATTCCAAGACTGTGTTGCCTACTGCTGACCATAGACTTCTACGGTAGAATCTTAATAAAAACGTGGCAGCGGGTTTTGTGACAACAAACCCCACCGTGAAGCTCTCTTTTCCGACGGACAATAGCACTACATCTCAGCTTGCTCGTTTAAATGCAGCAGCGGTGACTTTGCAAAACCTTGAAGGTCCTGGCGTTGGTTGCCCAATTTCTTCTACCACTTTCTCTGCACAGGGGAAAGCGATCAGTGCAGAGACGTCTACCAACGGGTCTTCAAGTGCTACGCCTCCATTAATGTCTACGGCCGCTTCATCTACCACCACATCTTCAGGTTTTGTTTCCGCAATGTCTACAGCTGTATCAACCACACCCGCGGATTGCAGTGTCCCAACGAGCACTTCTAACACGAGCACTGCCGTCCCAACGAGCGTCGCTTCAAGCAACACTTCCGTTTCGCCCACTGATGAGCAGATTGCCACTCTGGCACCGCCACTTGGATGGCAAGCTGGAATCAACCCAGACGGTAAGCAGTCATTTTGAACGTCTGCTAATATATAAGAAGCTCACATAAATATTATTAGGCACTGGCAATTGTGATGGTGCCGTTAATGGTACAAACGGGAAGCCAATACTCATCCCATGTCAATGTCCCCCTGATCAGACGAATTATATCGCGGTAAGCTGTTCCTGTCATGTTCAATTGCTCTCAGGGAATAACATTCTTCTAGAACCTGACTGCCAATATTCGCGCGGGCCATGTCATCCTTAATCCCACGGTTGCAACTCACATTTCCAACCGATAACAGTACAGCCTCGCAAATGCGCGTCTGAATGCTGCTGCTGTTACGATACAGAACTTGAATGGTGCTGGGAAGGGCTGTCCGATCGTGTCCACCACGTTCAGTGCACAACAGAAGGCAATTAATGCCGAAAGCACTTCTTGAGTGATTATTCAACGTCGTAGGCACCCAGCGGTTCTAGAAACCGCTTTATCGTTTTTTTTTTTTTGCATTCATGTCGTTGTAGCAAATAACAAGTTTTCGTTATCATCGTACAATCATATTGTTTGGGCCAGAGAAAACTTGAGAAATATTGGAGTCTACAGCTTCCGAACTCCGCTCCGAGCTAGATCATGACATGATGATTACTCTCACTGGCAGAGTCTCAGTTTGAACCTTGAAGTACTTACTACTACTACTAGTCAAGGCGTCACGCATCATGGATGGCACTAGAGAATGGCGTATCGAAATGTCTCGAGAATGGGATGTGCGTTCTTGCCTCAACTCCATCTGGGACGCAGTACAACGTGCAGGTTGTTGACGCGTCGCTGCGATTCAGGTTCTCGGACCTTTCCCCATCCACGCTAGGGAACAGCACTTCCTTTCTCCTGCGTTTCCCATCGACTGTGGGCAATCCTATTGATTGTATACTATGAGCTTGAGCTAATCTGCTATGGATCTCCAAGTGTCTAAGAATATAGATTTGACCCGCACGTATCCATCTGCCTATGCTGATGGCGGATATGTCTCTTGGTCAAAAGCCAGCTCGGATGAACACGGAAGTCTCAAGGTATCTCATCCCAATATTCGCTGGGAGCAGCTTCGCGCGACCGAAGGGTGGGCAGCACTGCAGCATCACAACGTCCTCCGGACGTATCTCACCGTCTATCCTCCTGATTCTAAGCAAGAGAGGATTGAGGCCGATCCACGCCTGCGTGTCGAGTGCCTCCAGGGCGCATATTTTTCCTTCTTACCAGGTGACGAGACAACTTGGACAACACATGTCTCGGAATGGCACATGGGGAATGTTTACGCTCTCGAGCGGGCCCCTGTACAGTTCGTCTCGCTCCCAACGTCTCCGTGTAGAGCTAAAGCGACCCGATATCAAGTGGTTCTTTGTGGACCTTATGAGGTGAACCGACTTCTCGAAGACCTGGAACATCATCTGAGTTCTCCACTATAATAGATAAGACTCTTTGGTGACCCTCGGTCATACACCTCAGAACATCCAATTTTGAGTATCAATTTTACTATCTCAATTGATACCCCTCCATCACTTGGAACATCACCTTATCTGGCGGCACCTGTCTTACATGCACCTGCTCACGATGTCATACCAGACTTCATCCATGGCCAGCCGTTCTCCTCAACGCTAGGAATTGGGCTTCGAAACGTTGATTTTTGCCGTAACACTAAATCAATATCAGGATGGTGGACAATAGTGTCAGCTGCGATTCCACCATGCGCAGGGCTGGGGCTTTCATTATGCAATCTTTTAACGGCAATACGACTCGCCCCGACTCAAACACACACACTGACGCTGGAGTTCCAACCCGATTCGGGACCGATCCCTACTGATATCACAGAGCTTCCGGTCGACATCACAATCTCTCCCTTCCACGATGAATCTGCATGCAGTGATATTGATGAGCAACAGATATTCAGAGTCAATGTTCCTATCAGACACATTCCCATGTGGACTTCTGTCAGTTTCACTGCCATCAGAGCGACGTACAATTTGGGCTTCAGCAATCCAACCATATTCTTGGCACTCCCCCCTCGATATCCCGATGAAGATGGTGAAGGAGGGCTGAAAGAGCCAATTCTAGCGTTGCGTATGTTATAGTCCACCTGATAGCTCTCAGTTTTCTTGAATGTTGACTTTCTTTTCAATTCAACATTTCTAGATGGCGCAGGTGTCGACATCATCAACCAAACATTCTGGGCAGACAGCCTCCCTCGACAAGACAGGGCATGGGTGATCATTCCATCTGGTCGAACTTCCTGGGTAATTCACATTCCAGTGCATACTTTAGCGATTTGATTGATGGACGACAGGGCCTCGATTGGCATGGTCCTTCTGCTGCTGATGCTTTCGCAACGGTGATAGCCCTGCACGATATACTATGTACAGGATTCGTGGACTTGGGTTTATCCTCGAGATACAAAGCTTATTGTCATGGGTCATTCGAATGGAGGGCAAGGAGCATGGTACGTAGCAAGTAGATGGCCGGACAAGGTGAAAGCTGGTATGTTTGACAGACTATATTTGAGGCTTTAATTAATATGACGGTGAAATACAGTCGTAGCCGCTGCGGGATATATCAAGTCCCAGGCATATGTCCCATGGACGATGTCGAGGTATCATGAAAGTTTCATCTCTATGTCATAGGGCTGACCAACCCTTTGACAGATTCGCCCACTTCATTGACCCAGCGCTCCGAGCTGTTCTAGAAACATCGCTCCTACCAGATGACAATGACCTATTCCTCTCCAATCTCGCCCACACGCCTGTACTCGCAATACATGGGTGCGTCTGGTAATAATTCCTTCGTGACGAAGCTGTCAACCACCGACCAGTGGCGCGGATGATAATGTCCCGCCTTGGCACACTCGCGAGGCAGTGAGTGTGCTCAGAGAATGGAATCCAGACGCAGACGTCACGTATGTATTTATGTTGGTTTTTGGTCCCCGACGACGGCTCATTAAGGTATCAAAGGTACTACGAGGAGCCTGGTCAGTCTCACTGGTGGTTCGAGGTGCTTAAAAACACTCGTGTTCAGGCGTTTCTTGACCGTGTTTGCTGTTCTTCGTACGACGCGCCAAAAACTAAATGTCGTAAGTTCACACTTACTGTTGCTGTCCCTGCAGAGAGCGGGTCAATGGGAGGTTGGCGAGTGCATGCCCTCGAAATGCCCGGGAGGTATGTGGCGCTCTTGTACATAAGCTTGACGCAGTGACATTTGCCCCAGGCTCGGTCGTTTGGAAGTATGCGAAGATGACGAAGGAGGAGTAAATGTCAAGGCCTCGAACATCAGTGTTGTTTCCATCGACCTAAGCAAGGCTTCTGTCAATAAACTTGTCATCAACAATCAGAGTATCGCGCACGCCAGTGCCAAAGCTGGAACAATCTGGCTCGAGCAAGACACCAATCGCAACTCAACTGGTTGGAAGGTAACGTCCTCTTGTGTGTTTTGATATCCGAACATCCTTCATGGTTTGTTGAAATAGGCAGTAGATTCTTATGAGGAGAACTTCCAACAACCGTATGGACGTGCACAGGCTGTTCTCAGCGCAGACGGAATCATCGATATCGTGATTCCATCGCTACATCACTCCTCCGAGCTGTCTGTGGCCTTGCGGATCACTCACAACCTACGAACTTACCATCTGCTTGATGCGCGAATATTTTCTGCACATGAAGCAGAAAATGGACTGGCATGCGGGGGCAATATGGTTGTCGTTGGTTGCGCAGACTCTTTGCTTGTTCAAGGTCTTCTAAGGCGCAGTCAGAGTGAATGGTCTCATGAAGGAGGAGCTTGGGTTTTGAACGACAAAAAGTTCGACAACTCTACTTCTGGTGGGTCGGGTCGAGGTGGCAAGCCTGAGAGACACTGAAAGTTGCCTTGTAGGTTTACTTTTCCTTGTCAAGAGAACATCAAATACTGCAAACACTGCGTTGTTCCTGCAATCATCTGACCCTGGCGGACTTGAGCGTGCGCTACGATTATTCCCAATCCGCACAGGTGTCTTGGTACCCGACTGGTTGGTAGTTGATGGGAGAGCAGATAGGATCGGGGCAGGTGGTGCAGAAGGAGCCGGGTAAGTTCTAGTTCATATATAGGACTTTTGACTGAGACATGCTTGCAGTGTTTGGGGATCAGCTAGCAGGTCAAACAATGGAAAATGGGGATTCAACGCCCATATGTCATGGCTTAATTAGCATAGAATGCCCATAGGTGTACATACTATTGTAAACGTAAGGGATTTTAAAGGGCGTTATAAACATCAAGCCAGAGGTGTGTCTACAAGGTTGTGGAGAAGATTTGTTATAATCAAAGTTCATGTTACACCTCGTTCAACACTTGAAAACGGTGAAAGGTTGTTACAATACAGTGAGTGCAGTTAGAGAACAAGGAAAAAACCCAAAGAAACAAATATGCGCAACAGATAGCAGGAACAAAGACAGACTGAGTCTATGGCTGATAGATGGACCTCGCGACCTGCAATGTTTGTTGAGTAAGGGTTTCAACTAAACAGCGGGGCACCTTACGCTCTCAAGCAACATGGTGACTTCGGGTGCAACGCGAATGAACTCCTTGTTCCAGAACTCGTACTTCAAGTTGCGGAGCAACTCAATGAAGGTGACCAAGGCACCCCAGGGATGAGGACGATGTACGATGAAGCGCTCCAGAAAGACGCGAGTCATCACTTCACGGAAGCGATCATCCTTCACCTCTACAAAGAGGTAAAGAAGTAAAGAACTGAACCAGTGGGTATGGGCATTGGGATATCGCAGATGGAGGACCATGGAGCTCAAGAGGTGGTGTTGTCCTACGTATCGCGTCAATTTATGTCATATAAACTAGTGGATTCATTGAACTTACCTTCAACATCTAGATTAGCAGCAAGATACTGTAGAGCAACGACGCCAGGGTCGCTCGCGACAAACACAGAGGATCCACTTCTTGCCTTAGCCTGAGCAACTGACGATACTCCAATGTACATGACAAGGGAATTTATCAGTGACAGGTTGTATGACTCGGTTGAACCCTCTGGCATGGCGGGTAGCCTCAGGCGATCTTTGAGTGTTGTAAGGAATGAAGGGGTTCCACGATTAAGGAGGTATTGATCGAGGTTGTTGCGGAGGTCAGCGCTTTTGAGACCTGAAGCAAAGTCTGATAGAATGGGTGGTATCGGTCCCATTTCGGGAATCGAGTCAAATTTGATGTTGCGTAGATGGGGGTCAGGAAGGATGATGGACATAGGGAACGCGCTGAGGATGATGTTGCGAAGTTGGATGCAGCGCGGAGGGATGGCATCGCACAGACTAAAGTAGTATTCGCTAAGGAACTCTGGGAAATCGTGAAGAAGGACGAGGAGGAGTCGGAGGGAGCCACGGTACAGATCACGAGATGCGAGTTGGAGATCAGCCTCTTTCAAGA